TTATGGGGTTGCAGCGCTCATCTCGCTTTCAGGCCGAGCGAGCCAGCGTTTGTCCACAGACAGCTTGGAGAGCCAGTGTGGTGTAGTGGTTAAGAGTGGTGGACTCGTAATCTGGTGAACCGGGTTCGCTTCCCCGCTCCTCCACATGCAACTGCTGAGTGACCTTGGGCCAGTCACACTTCTTTGAAGTCTCTCAGCCCCACTCACCTCACAGAGTGTTTGTTGTGGGGGAGGAAGGGAAAGGAGAATGTTAGCTGCTTTGAGACTCCTTAAAGGGAGTGAAAGGTGGGATATCAAATCCAAACTCTTCTTCTTCTTCTTCTTCTTCTTCTTCTTCTTCTTCTTCTTCTTCTTCTTTCCAGGTCATGTGTCCAGCATGACTAAACCGCTTCTGGCACAACGGGACATCGTGACAGAAACCAGAGCACACGGAAACACTATTTACCTTCCCGCCGCAGCAGTACCTATTTATCTACTCGCACTGGCATGCTTTCATACTGCTAAGCTGGCAGGAGCTGGGACAGAGCAATGGGAGCTCACCCCGTCGCAGGGATTCAAATCGCCAACCTTCTGATCGGTAAGCCCAAAAGGCTCAGTGGTTTAGACCACAGTGCCACCCACGTCCCTTTCACAACATAATACAGGGTAAAAGCACAAAATAGTTAAAAACAAAACAGAACAATAACTGCCCTCCTTGGAACACATTTAAAAGGCTGTAGGATATTAGTGTTAATGAAGAGGAATGTTTTCACTTGGCGCCTAAATATGTAAAATGAAGGAGCCAGGCGAACTTCCCTGGGGAGAGCATTCCACAGACGGGGAGCCACTGCAGAAAAGGCCTGTTCTCATGTTGCCACTCTCTGGACCTCTCACGGAGACGGCACATGAAGAAGGGCCTCAAAAGATGATTGCAGAGTCCAGGCTGGTTTTATGGGGAGAGGCGGTCCTTGAGGTATTGCAGTCCTGAGAGCCATTTGAAGCTTTATAGTGTCAAAGCCGGCACTTTGAATTGGGCCTGGAAGCTAATTGGGCCAGGATCGGTGTAATATGCTCAAATCATCTTGCCCCGGTGGTGAGCAACCTGGCTGCCAAATCTCTGCGCCAGCTAAAGTTTTCAACCCGTCTTTAGGAAGTGATAGGAAAGGCCTAAGACCCTGGAGGTCTGCTGCCTGCTAGAGTAGGCAATATTAGTCCTCGTTGGTAAGTAGTATGACTGCTTCTTATGTTCCTACAATTAATATAGACCCCACTTCTGATGAACCTCTACTACAGCCTTCATCAGCCTGTAGCCCTCCAGAGGGCACTAGATTGCCAAAGTCTGCTCCAGTACGCCAGGTATTATTTGGGGTTTTCATGGTGTCGTCTATTATTATTATTATTATATTATTATTATTCACATACAAAACTGATCTCTCTCAACATTTTAAAAAGAAAAAAATGTCATAATCATATAGACAAATGTTCAGCATGTTACCTAACCAGGTCGGACGATACTGCTAAATGACCAACACAGCAAGTACAATATTTCATGTTACCTTACTACTTTCTTGGGTGTCAAGCATCAGAAAATGATTGATCGTAAGCAGCCCCTTACAGCGAAAGTAATACCAAGTATCCTCATGGAAACGGCTTTATTTGAGTATTGCAAGAGGGAGAAAGAGAGAGCGAACTGACAGGTACACAAGGTGGGCAGGTAAAAGTATAATGCCTTTTTGCTTCTACCCCCTTTCATAAATCATGATATTCTTTCCAACAAGGTCTGGTTTAGGGGGAAATTACACTTTTTCTCCCTCCGAAACAGGAATGTTGATCACCGGAGTTCCAATCTCGTGAAAAATTATCATGGGGGGGGGGAGCACAATTCACAACTGATTTATGGCAAAATTGATAGAAGTGAGGGGTTCCAACCAATCGCTTGCTTCGAAATATCCTCCAATCTCACATCCTGACTAAAAGCTTTGCTCAAAATGGCTTGGGTAATTTAAGTACCAAAACAGAAGGCATTAACCCAGCACACCCCATTAATCATATCAGTTGCTAGGCTAAGGGGAGGCCAAAGGAGGGGGCGAGGAGAAGCAGGACTGTAATCACACCTGGAATAACCAAAGAAGACCCTGGGTTTGTTGCGGATGCAACTTTTAACTTTACTGCAACTATCATAACACTGTGTACGTTTCCAAAGCACAATTCAAAGTGTTGGTGCTGACCTCTAAAGCCCTAAACAGGCTATGGCATATTCCACCGCAAGATGCAGCGATAGTGGTCACAAAATTAGAATGCTTTAAAATGGGTTAGGCAAATTAATGGAAGATAAGGCTACCAACAGTTACTAGTACAGATTGCTATATACAGTGGTACCTTGGGTTACATACGCTTCAGGTTACACACTCCGCTAACCCAGAAATAGTGCTTCAGGTTAAGAACTTTGCTTCAGGATGAGAACAGAAATCGTGTTCCGGTGGTGCAGCAGCAGCGGGAGGCCCCATTAGCTAAAGTGGTGCTTCAGGTTAAGAACAGTTTCAGGTTAAGTACGGACCTCCGGAACAAATTAAGTACTTAACCCGAGGTACCACTGTACTATTTCAGAACCAGAGGCAGTAGGCCTCTGACTACCAGTTGCTGGGGAATCCAAGCAGGACGATAATATTGCTGAGAATACGCTGCCTGGGCTTCCCAAAGGCCTTTGGCTAGCTAAGGCGAGGACAGGATGTTGTAGTAGATCGACCTTTGGTCTGATCCAGCGGCGGCGGCAATCGTTCAACAGGGTTTATCTCCCTTCCTACGCTTTATAGAAGTCAACTCTCCAAGCGGGTGCTTGAGGCCGAAAATAGGAAGTAGCTCTACTGAAAAACCATCACTGATGCAACACGATACGCCTACGGTGTGCGATCTCCCATGATGACTATTTCCTTTGCTGGACCAGGTTGCATGAACAAAAGCTGCCTTATGTCTAGGTTTTTTGGCATTGCCATATCTGCACTATAGGTCTCTAGGTCACTTTGATTTGCATGTAGACAAATAAATTAACTGTAGCACACACGCACACACAAAAGCCAGAGCACCCAAACACCCCACAAGATGGAACAGAGTGGCACAAGATGAGAAAGCTGATGAAATATGCCAGACAGTTATACAAGTGACTAATTTCCCCAGCAATATGACGAGAGAGAGAGAGAGAGAAATGTGTGACTTTGAAATGACAGGATTTTGTGCATATGAAAGCAAGGAGAGATGGGTGGGGGTGTGGAAAATGAGCAATTACTGGAGATGAACTGATTTCCCTAAACTCTGCAAAGGCTGGGTATGCAACAGCTGCAGCTGTCATCTCTTTAGATGAGGGAATGGAGAAGTGGTCCTTAGTGAGACCCCTTGTTTTAGCATCTCTTGCATCTTGAGATGCAGCAGGGTTAGGGGTGACTGGGGAACAAGTGATGGAGGCGGCCCATCCAATTTGTGGAACGTCCTGCCTAGGCTTCCTAGCGCTGATACGGATGTCCTTCTGGCACCAGGCAAAACCAGAAGATTTTAATCCCAGAATATCATGGGTTGTTGCCAACAAAGTTTTACTCAGAACAGACCCATTGGAATTAACATGTTAGACCCATGCCGGTCATGTCCATTATTTTCAATGGCTGTTCTCTAAGGATAATTAATGCAGCACACAACACCATTTTTTATTAACTTCTGGTTCTATTCTCAAGGGTTTTAGTTGGGTTTTATCCAGGTTTGTGTTTATACTGCTGCGATCCAGTTTTCATTATGTATATTAGGCTATCTTTCGTATTTTTTGGAAGCTGTGTAAGACTTTTCTTTTTGAGGGGAAGGCTATACACTTGCACATTTAATTAATCTTACAGTCAGTCAAATGGTGTTTTGCTGCTCAAGTGTGAGATTATCAGGTATATCCCCAAACGACTGCCTCAAATGGATTTAAATTAAGCCTATTAAGGGACCAGTCCTATGGTCCCTGGGAAGGACATCCCAGCAGATTTCCCCTTCCACCTGTGGAGGAGAGATGGTGTACTTGTGGAAGCTTCCTTATTGTGGAAAACTCTGCAGTCATCTCCATCTCCAGTGGCACAAGGACAAAAAAAGAGTGTGTGTATTGCTATGGTGCTTGGATGCTAAAGGATCCAGTGCCTCACCATTTCCTTGGCATGCGCCCAGAAAGGCAAGAAAACCACGAAAGCCAACAGAAAGATAAATTGGAGGGGGAGGAGGCAACAGCACCAAAATTATCTGGGAGGATCCAGCCTCTCTCCATCTTCCGCCCAGGTAATCTTAGATATGGTGGTTCCTCCACCACAAATTCTCTCTTCCTCACTATGGTGAGACAGCTCTGAGAGGTTGCCATCCTACAGCCACTTACCTTATCATTTCCCTTCAAGGGAGTTCAAGGTGCCATTTACAGCCGGCCTCACAACATCAATTGGTATGGTAATAGGTTAGGAGCGCAATCCAAACCCCTGGGCCTGGAGGGAGTCGGTGACTTCCACCACGTCAACAGTTCTGCTGCAAAGGCCTGATGGGGTAGAAGGTTGTGCAGATGGGGATGGAAAAGGCCTCTGCTGCACCACCAGAGGCTGGCAGAACCAATCAGGATTGAGCCGAAGCCCTACAGCATGCTGGAGTTAGGCGTCCCATACCATCTTATATATGTCTACCTCAATGAATTCAATGGGACTTATTCCCTGGTATCAGAGAGCAGGGTTGCGACCTAAAGTACTGGAATTAGAGTGACAGAATATTTCAGAGTCACTCTGTCATACTTGTGTGTTTGCTTTTCCTTTAAAAAAGGGGAGGAGATTTTGTTATCTGGATCTCCATACCTTGCAACTCACATCTCAGGTAATGCTATATCTGTATCCGGCATTTGATGAAGCAAGCTGAAATGTTCAGGCCGCTATGAACCATTTCAGATCCCAGTCTTTTTAGCTCTACTGGAGAAGTGTAAATGCACTTTACAACTAAAAACAAACCCTTTAAAAATATGCAGCAGGTCTGAACATAGGCCTGTATTTTATTCTTGATCTCTATAAATTTATACACACACACACACACACACACACACACACACTACTATATACAGTCGGTTTAGAACAAAGATCAAAATGTTATTATTACTTTGGGTTATTTAACTTGATGCAGTTGTCTCAGATGAAAGAGGAACACTGGCTTTGTAATGCGATTTTTCATTTGACAATATTGTAAAAAAATTAACATAGCGTTAGATGAAACAAATTGTACGCTACAAGAGAATTAAAAGTTTCAGAGGATATTGTCCACTTTTGGTTTCCTGATTTTAACACTTGAAACAGGTTGGCAATATATCCCTGCACGCCTGGTCACAGGTTTTGAAATTCTTCTGGGAGATATTTCCAGTTAGGGATCCTTCAACAATATTCCTGAAAGAGAAGAAAAGAGAATGGAAATGTTAGTAAAGTGAACATATCCATCTCTCTGCTAATCAGAATGAATTTACAGCAGAAGAACTGGCTAAATGTGAACCCAAGAAAGGATCTTGGTGAGGTAAAAGCATGTAAAGCCAGAAATCTGGAGAAGTATGCAATTTCAGTGGGTTGTACCCAACGAAGTCGTGGTGTGAGTGTCTCCTCCCACCTCATGCTCCCTGCAGCCCTAAATCTGTTTCTCAGGACTAGGGATCCTTCAGATTCTTGGTCCAGTATATCTGAAGGAGCGTCTCCACCCCCATCGTTCTACCCGGACACTGAGGTCCAGCACTGAGGGCCTTCTGGCGGTTCCCTCACTGCGAGAGGCCAAGTTACAGGGAAGCAGGCAGAGGGCCTTCTCGGTAGTGGCGCCCTCCCTGTGGAATGCCCTCCCACCAGATGTCAAAGAGAACAACAACTACCAGAGTTTTAGAAGACATCTGAAGGCAGCCCTATTTAGGGAAGCTTTTAATGTTTGATGTATTACAGTATTTTAATATTTTTTTGGAAGCCGCCCAGAGTGGCTGGGGAGGCCCAGCCAGATGGGCGGGGTATAAATAATAAATTATTATTATTATTATTATTATTATTATTATTATTATTACAGATCTGGACTGGGGAGCATATGAGGGAGGAGAGGGGAAGGGAAGTGCGAGTGGAAGTTGTTCCACTCAAGCAATGGCTTTGTTGGAAATAACACAGTTTTCTTTTGGGAGGGGAGAAAGGGGATCTAAGGATAAATTGAGGAATGCCACTGTTTGCTAGCAGAAAACAGTTACCTTACCAACACACATTCTTCCACAGCAGCTACAAAACAATGAGCAAGCTGATATGTACCAAATCGAATTATTTGGGAGCTTTAACAGAACTGCAAAAGGCAACTTGCAATCAGAAAGACTCATAAACTGATTTAAAAGCCAGTTTCATATTGGGGGAGAAATACTTCAATGGGAAGTTTCCACAAGTTTATGTCCAAAGTGCATTTGTCTGACTCCAGAGGAAGACCAAAGGGCAGGGTTAGAATTTCAGAATGATTCTGCCAACATGGGTAATTTGGGACAGTAAGTGAGGAATGAAATTCTACGAAAGGAAAATACATAAGATGGTCAGAGGGAAGAGACGACAGGGATGCTACACTTTTAATAGTTGTGTAGAACTGCACAACTATTAGGGGGCAGGATCCCTGTCCTCTTTTGCACCTGGCACCCTAGAGACATAGAGTATATTACAGATTACACCTGTGATGGGGGAACTGTCGATCAACTACGAATTATCTAAAAGACCACCTGCCCTTTTATAGACCTGTATATCATCTTATATCATCTGGGGAAGTTTGATTCATGGTACCACACCCGAAAACAGGCATCTTCTGCTACTGACTCTGTACTGTACCATACCCTTCCTTCTACCATATGTGAAACATCATCCATCATTTGCTTCAGGCATCTTCTAAATACATATATTTTTGCTCATAAGATTGGACCCTGTTACCAAATTCCTAATTTTAATTTTTATAATACTGTTTAACTGGCTTTTTATGTTGCATTTTTAAAAATAATATTGATCATTGTTCCATGTTTTATTTTTGTACACTGCTTGGAGATTTTAAAATATTAAGTGGCTTAGAAATGCTTTTAGATAATAAAAGTAGTATTATTTCACTTGGGGAAGAATAAACACCCAAGTGACAAATGAATGGTAAAGAACCAAGCAGAGCTGTTGGTCAAAAGGATGCAATGAGGCGCCGTGAATTGCAAACAGGAGTCCAATATTGGAAACATTGCAAGGATGGCAAATGCCCTCTGCCACAAATTTAGCAGAAGCATCATCTCTAACAGGCAGATTGAGGAGCTAGACTGCTCCACTTGGCAGTGATTTGGTCTCCATTGGAGAAGTGTCTTCTCTGAAGCTAGATCTGAAGAGGTTTTGAAAAGCTTGTGCAAGGCATAAGAGGAATCATTAAAGGCAGGTATGACCTCCCTGATCAATTCTAACCTCATTAAGGTGATTCAAACACCATCAGCTGATCACCCCTTGCTCCACTCCTGCGATTACCCCATCCTTTTCTCTGCTCCCCTAATATAATCTATGCCAGGCACAGGCAAACTCTGGCCCTCCAGATGTTTGGGACAATTCCCATCATCCCTAGCTAACAGGACCAGTGGTCAGGGATGATGGAAATTGTAGTCCCAAACATCTGGAGGGCTGGAGTTTGCCTATGCCTGATCTATGCAAAGGCTGTGTTAACTTCAATAGTAACCTCAGTGCCTCCGCCACTTTTCTTCTTTCTTTCTTTCTTTTTTTTTTGAGTGGGAAATGAAAGGATGGATGTAAACAGTAGCAGTTTCTTGTTCAGCTAAAGAAAATTTCAAGGAGACCCTATTAAATAATAATAATAGCAGACACTGATCCTGGTCTAATTGTGCACCAGTCTCTCAAATAACAACTAGTGAACACAAGAAGGTGGAAAGGAGTTGCGCTTTTGGTTCAATTTGCAGAAAGGCAAAATCTGGGTTGCTAGATGATGGTGATGATGGGTAGGATTTGGATCATTCCATGCACCCAAAGGGGCTCTGGACTCAGATTTCATGAATGCCTTTGCTCCAACCACCATTCAGAGACGGCTGAAGTTGACCAGAAACTTGGAGAAATGTCAAAAGCAGCATGTAGAATGTCGCAGGGGCTGTGCGATTCAAGGTGGGTGGGGAATGGCAAAAGTCCCACTGGGTTTGCACAAGTTTTAGGCATGCCTAAAGCAACTATTTTGGCCCCAGTCATTAATTACAAATGGACTTGGGGGTGTTTCAGATGAAATAAGCACAATATGGAAGTAGAAGCAGTGGGGATCTGTGGCCTGGGATCCAAAGAGCTTCTTAGTAGTGTGGTCACTTAAGTACTGCCCCCATAGGAGGAATTTTTTAAAAGGGGGAAGGTGCTGATTTGCATATAATGTGCCTATCCTGATTAATCTGCATAGCTGCAGTTTGGAAAAAATTATTTAAACCTAAATGACAGTACAATGCACCTCACCATAAGTGGTGGGAAAGGTTGTGACCGGGTGACCCATGTTCCACGGGGCTGGCCCAAGATATTTTGCTGCCTGAGGCAAAGAACAAACTGGTGCTCCCTCTTCATCCCACAAGCAAGGACTGGCAGTTTAGTTTTAGTTCAACACTGGATAGTTTGGGAGTGGGTAGGACATATGGCAAGTACAGCGCTGTCCTCCAACAGACAGAGATGCCCAGGGAATGCTTAGAAAGAAGAGCCAGGGAGCTACCATTGCTGCTGTCCAATATTTGCTGCCTGAGGTGGTTGCCCCACTTTGGCTAATGGCAGGGCTTGCTCCATCTACTGTCCAGGTGTTGTTGATGGGGAACTCCCAATACCCTTGTGCCGCCCCTTCTAATGGTTCTTCATCTTCAAGCTGGGCATTGTCCCTCAAACAGTCCCTCAAACATAGGGCCTTCCTCAGGCAGCCCTTCAAACAGAAGACTGCAAAATTAGGAACTATCGCTCTAGGAAAGCTGGTTCCCCAGGGCTCTCAGTGTCAGTAGTTTCACAGTGCTTGAGCTCACAGAGAACCAAAACTTTCTAAAGGGAAAGAACAGAGAAGGGGAGAGACCTAGGACCTACCACACCAAAGGACCCCAGAGGCTGCTGATTTAAAACACAGTGGTCAGATCTCTAGCAATGAACACACAGCTTCTGAATACACATAGCCACCAGGTGGATATTTCAGGGCTAGTTCTCAAATACAGCCATGGCTGAAAGAGACCTACTAAGCTATCTTAAATGCTATACAGTTGTAGGAAAAGGACAGCAACTCCCAAGCACAGTTCAAAACTAATTAGTGGAAGTTGTTTTAGTGTTTCAGGCTCATAGCTTTAAAGAAAAATCCAGCTGAATGTATTGTATGAATGAGAAAACGCCACTGTGGGAAGCTGAGTCGTTAACTTTGGAAGCCCCTTTGGAGATGATGCTCTACTGACATTGTGAGAGGATTGCTATCTTTTCCTTTCAAAGGGAAACTTGCAAAGGAACTCCCATGTGAAGCTTTCCCCGGCACAAATCCCATGCTAAGCTCGCTGCATTTCTGACTGTTGCGCACAGAGCCTTTGTCAGGGAAAAAGCCAGCATTAAATGTTAAACGTGCAGGCCACATTTGCTTTAAATAAGCTACTGTTCTGTGGACGTCACCTGCCACCCATCTAACTTTCCAGATGACCAATAACCTAGTCTGTGGACCTCATATATGGCATGGGCAGGGAGCGACTCTGTCTTGAATAAGGCCAAGTAGGTGTGTGGAACCTTTGGCCCGCCAAAGGCTGTGAACTGCAACTCCCATCAGCCTCAGCAAGCATGGCAAATGGCAAGGGATGTTGGGAGTTGCAGTTCAGCAACATCCGGAAGGCAAAAGGTTCCCCATACCTAAGGTTCACAAAAAGATGGATAGGTGAGATACTAATGGTTGCACCCATGTTTCGATTCTTGGTTGGTCGAAACCTGTGTGCACACACACACGCATGGATGTGCCTGTCCTTTACAACCAGGTTGGTTGGTTCTTCGCAGAATAATACAATTAAATTCCTGGCTGAAATTAACACTAGAACATCAAGTTCAATGTAAAGGCAGCAGGTGTGCCTCTGTGATAAATCTCTTTAGAAAGGGGCACAAAAGCTGTTGAACAGATGCAGTAATCACAATAATTAGAAGAATTGTGTTGCACAGGAACTGGAGGGAAAACATGAATTGAAGTCCAAGTTATCCTACTGAGCAGAGACAGGAAGGCAGGAAATCTCCCGAAGGAAGAATTCATGGGGGAGTTTTCTTCCTAAATAATACAGCATCCATTCCATAGGAGTTAAGTAGGAAGAAAACAATGATGGCATTTGCTCATACCTGTACACTTTTATATACAAAGGTGCTTTATTAAAGGTTTCATATTTAGGTAGGTCTATTATGCAGTCATGTAAGATACCTGCTGATAAAGGTTTTGTCTGGCTTTTAAAAATAGCATGTGTTTGAATGATTTAAACAGTAATTTTAGTAACTAGCAATGCAGACTTAGACATGTCTACTCAGAAGTGCCATTGTGGTCAATAGGCCTTATGATCAAGTAAGCGGGTATAGGCTTGCGGTCTGAAATCTGTATTTTCAACAATATAAATAGCTTGAAGACAAAGATTCATTTTATGGTCTAGACCAGGGGTAGTCAAACTTTTTATACCTACCTCCCACTAATGCATCTTTCTTGATGGTAAAATTTCCTTATCGCCCACCAGTGCTGCAGTAACATATGCCACAGAACCCGCTACCACCCACCCGGAATCCTGAAACACCCACTAGTGGGCGGTAGGGCCCAGATTGACTACCCCTGGTCTAGACAGCGGAGATACAGACCAGGCATTTTCTGATTCAGAGGTGGGGAATCTATTGACTTCCAGGTGAAGCCAGACTACAACCACCTGACCACCCTTGACTGTTCTTCCTGGGACTGATGGAAGATGGACCTCTATTGTATCTACAGAGCCACATGTTTCCTAACACTGACCTAATTTCTTCCAGCACGTTCATCTGCTTTGTCCAAAAGGGCTGTTAACTCATCAGGAAAATGGCATGATAATTTTTTCAGACGTGGGGCTAACTTGGTGGCATCTGCATATTAATATTAACAAAGGAACACCCTTCATCAGCATTTCTCAGTGGGGGAGAAGTAGCGAAGGGACAGCCTCGACTCCCACACTCCACTAGATCTGACACAGCTGGACACAAGAGGATGAAACTTGGCTGCCAAAGCAGCCTAAAGATGTTAGCTCGGTCCCTGACTGCAAAGGAGGCGAGGGGCAGGATGGAGGAAGGAGAAGTCAGGACAAACTGCAACAGCAGCAGCAGCAAATGATGGAGTTTTCAGGGGAACTCCACAGAGGCAGCAAGAAAAGCAAGATGAGGCTAGATGCATGTGGTTGTTAGTCTAGCAACTGCACAGGCCTGGAGACACCTGAGTGCAAGGATAGAGGTATGTAAAACTTGGTATAGGAATTAAGCCTCGCAGGAATAATTAAGCCTCACGAGAACCTGCATGATGAGACGAGATTCAGATCTCCTCCAACAAAGGAGAAAGTGTCTCATCAAGTCTCCTCTGCAAAGTTGGATTCTGAAGGGATCTTATCACTCTGTTGTGTCCTTCAGGGAGTATGACGCTTGCATGTCCATAAAACTGACCTCACGGACCTACAATTGCCAGTACTGTTAACAAACTACAGTTCCCAGGATTCTCCAGGACTGTTAAAGTAGTACGAGAATGCTTTAAAAGTATAGTGTAGATGTGACTTAAATAAAGAGTTCTACTAAACCATTACATTTAAAGGGAAGCTCTGCAGGAGATAAAGATTGCTAAAATTCAAGAGCCATTTTTTTAAAAAAATAATACGGTTGTTATTTTTGCTCATTACAGTTTTATAAAGCTTTAAAGGCAGCAGTGAGACCAATCTTTGGTCCATGAGGCCATTTTCCCCAAATCATACCCAGGTGTAATGAAATAATATGTAATGTCAGGTATGTGGCAGGTGAAGACACATCTGCAAAAGGAGGAGGAGGAAGAGCCTTAAATTGTTTTCCTGGTTGTCCCTAGAAAAAGCAGGGCTCACATTTGGCATCTTTTAAATTTGGCACCAAACACAAGCCCCACTGGGACTGGTTCCAACACAGGATTTCCTGACTGGAGCTCTTGGGTGCAGCAGATCCGTGGTGAAAAGCAGTGCTGACTGCAGCTTCTGCTGGGATCAGCAAAGGGATCTTCCTTTGCAGCCTGCCATGAATTCAAGCCAGCTTGCAAAGAAACTTTTTGCAGATTCCGCACACATATCTCCAAGGATATGGCTGGAATGGAATGGGCCCATACTTGCTGGCTCCATCCTAGCCTTGTGCCCCTGGGGGCAAAGGAAGCTAAGGGACAAAGAGCCCTGAGGCCAGTTGCTGGTGTTGTTGCAGTTGTTGTATCAAGAGCTGGCAATCCTAAGCGGCCGGGGGGGGGGGTGATCCTAATAAATACTGGAGAGTAGTCTGATTTTCACACACTGATTTGGCCTAAACCAGGGGTCAGCAAGGTTTATATTGCCTGGGCCGGATCGGTTCCACAGAGATCCCTCCGTGGGCTGGATCGCACCTGCCCGCGATTTTTGGCGTCTGCGTAGATGCGATTTTTGCCGTCTGTGCATGCACAGACGCAATTTTTGGCGTCTGCATCTGAGCAGATACGATTTTCAGTGTCTGTGCATGCATAGATGCGATTTTCGGTGCTGCAGAAGCAAGTCACCGCGCCGCGCTGCACCGGTTTAGCACAGCGCACGAGCTGGAAACTTGGTTCGGGGGAGGCTCGTGGGCCAGTCAAACGACCTCCACGGGCCACTTCTGGCCCATGGGCCTTAGGTTGCTGACCCCCGGCCTAAACAATCAATTCTTGAGAGCTTTGGGTTTTTCAGTTGTGGCTACAAGCAGATTTGAATGGGGGGAGTAAATGAAACTGGTGTTATTCTGGTGCTGCTCTCCTGATTCCCTGTAATACATGTTCAGCTATACTAAGTAGATTGCAGAACAAAACAAAGAAATCCTAAGCCTTCAAATGAGGACTTTTGAGTCTGTAAAGAGCTTTCTGGATTTCCGACAGCTCAGCAAACACAACGCCCCACGATGAGAGCGGGGTGTGTATATTTCTCCAAATATTTTTTTTTCTAGCAGTACGGCAATGCATTGACCTACTAATTCATATTCAGATTGCTTTCCTAGAAGCACACACCCAAAACACAAAAGCTCCATGATTATGCTTGATGAAGAAGTGCCAATTGAAAACTGAAATAGCTTATGGAAATGCAAGCAAAATTTCCCAGGTTTAACCCATTTCTCATTCATGTCCAATAGCTGAAGCAGATGATTTTAATGTGTTTACAGTCAACTCATTAGTTGGGAGGTACAGTATATGGAGGGGCAAAAGAGAACTCTAGCACAGAAACATTTATTGAAGGGTGGTCGTTTCTTACCATAGTCAATGAACTCCTGAGGATTTCAGTGTGAATCTCTGAAAAAAGAGAAAAAAAGTTTTAAAACCTTCTTTAGCTAATTAATAGTTTAACTTTTTTTTAAAAAAACTATTGGCAACATAATTCTATATGTTGAGTTAAATAAATGAATACTTATCTGATTGTTTCCTGGGATCCTTTTGTGCTTGTAATTCTTGAGTTAAGAGGAATTTTGTTTAAAAATGTGTAATTACGAAGATTTGGAAAAGGAACTTGAGAGCAAATTACAGCTTGGCTTTAAGAAGTGAAATCGTTCAGGGTTCAACAGTAAATGCTGGTGCTTCAAGTTATACAGGAAAAGTACAAGGTAAAACAAAAAAGGATAATGTGCATTATGTGGCCTGTAATAATATTTTGTCTCAGGTTTATGGTGCAATGCGGCAACTCTGGTTGACAGAAGGGAGAGAGCATCCTCAATCACTGGTAAATGAAATAATGAACATATCTTGGTCAAGTATTTTCTGACAGGGTTTTTTAAAAGCTTAACTGCAGATCTTTCAAATGCTCCTAAAGTACAAAGGTTGCAGAATATAGCCTTTTAAGAGGTGCATGTTACAAAGCAACACCCATTCCCATCAATCCCTGTTGTCAAGGTCACAGCAGCCAAGGCAAAAACTTCATTGCCTCTCTTCAGCAAGAACAGAGTAAGAATAGGAAACTCTTGACTTTTTTTACACACACACACACACACACACACACACACAGTACCTCAAACTATATACAATACTGAATAACTGGTGCAAATTGGTCCAATTTGCATTGCTCTTGCTAACCAGATGGAGGGAGGGACTGGAAGGGACATAAAGTTGCACCCACTGGTCACAGGAATCTCTGGATTCTGAGATTTCTCCAGTCTCTGCCCAGTTCTTATGGTTACAAAGGAACCCAGGTTAAGGCAACAGGGATCTCAAACTAAGGAAATGTCATGGACTTGTTGGACGCAGAAGAATGGTGGGAGGAACCAGCTGGGTAACCACTAAGGAAAGAAGGCTCAGGGCCCAGAGAGTGGTGGTGGGACAACAATGAGTGGTCAGAGGGAGAAGAGTCGGGAGCTGAAAAGGTAACAGGGCTTAGTGAGCTGGGAGAATCTGTGGCAGAGAGAAGCCCAGAATTGTAGGCAGAAGCTGAAGCAGGGGAGAGGAGGGAGGCCAAGAGGCATAGATGAGTCAGGCTGGTGTAGGGCTGGGCGATATATAAATATATTGTCTAACACAATATATTTGAAGTTTGAAGTTCACATCGTGTTAATTGTTTCATAATATTTGAGCTGGCAATGTATCGCAAATCACAATGTGTGTAAGGGCTAGGCCAGGCATAGGCAAACTCCGGCCCTCCAGATGTTTGGGACTACGATTCCCATCATCCCTGACCACTGGTCCTGTTAGCTAGGGATGGTGGGAATTGTAGTCCCAAACATCTGGAGGGCCGGAGTTTGCCTATGCCTGGGCTAGCCCTTACACTTTTTTTAAAAGCTTAACTGCAGATCTTTCAAATGCTCCTAAAGTACAAAGGTTGCAGAATATAGCCTTTTAAGAGGTGCATGTTACAAAGCAACACCCATTCCCATCAATCCCTGTTGTCAAGGTCACAGCAGCCAAGGCAAAAACTTCATTGCCTCTCTTCAGCAAGAACAGAGTAAGAATAGGAAACTCTTGACTTTTTTTACACACACACACACACACACACACACACACAGTACCTCAAACTATATACAATACTGAATAACTGGTGCAAATTGGTCCAATTTGCATTGCTCTTGCTAACCAGATGGAGGGAGGGACTGGAAGGGACATAAAGTTGCACCCACTGGTCACAGGAATCTCTGGATTCTGAGATTTCTCCAGTCTCTGCCCAGTTCTTATGGTTACAAAGGAACCCAGGTTAAGGCAACAGGGATCTCAAACTAAGGAAATGTCATGGACTTGTTGGACGCAGAAGAATGGTGGGAGGAACCAGCTGGGTAACCACTAAGGAAAGAAGGCTCAGGGCCCAGAGAGTGGTGGTGGGACAACAATGAGTGGTCAGAGGGAGAAGAGTCGGGAGCTGAAAAGGTAACAGGGCTTAGTGAGCTGGGAGAATCTGTGGCAGAGAGAAGCCCAGAATTGTAGGCAGAAGCTGAAGCAGGGAGAGGAGGGAGGCCAAGAGGCATAGATGAGTCAGGCTGGTGTAGGGCTGGGCGATATATAAATATATTGTCTAACACAATATATTTGAAGTTTGAAGTTCACATCGTGTTAATTGTTTCATAATATTTGAGCTGGCAATGTATCGCAAATCACAATGTGTGTAAGGGCTAGGCCAGGCATAGGCAAACTCCGGCCCTCCAGATGTTTGGGACTACGATTCCCATCATCCCTGACCACTGGTCCTGTTAGCTAGGGATGGTGGGAATTGTAGTCCCAAACATCTGGAGGGCCGGAGTTTGCCTATGCCTGGGCTAGGCGATATCTGGTTTTCAACATCGTGATAACTCACCAACTAAACATTGTGATAACTCACCAGCTAAACACTGCAATGTTATCAGCAACTAAACCTCACCATATCACCAGCTAAACCATATCACCATTGTCTTGATCGTCTCTGCGTTGTTCCTTCCTTAATTCACATATCATGATATATTGATATATCATGATGTTTAGCTGGTGATATATCATGATATTGAAAACCAGTTATCGTCCAGCCCTAGGCTGGTGAAGAGTCACTTGCCTTCCTCCTGCAACAAGCTCCCCTTCCCCTCTGCCTCCCAGAACCAGAAGAGGCATCAAAAGGGTGGAGGAGAGGTTGGCTTCATGTAGGCGCAGTCTCCAGTTGCTTAGGGGAAAACCCTGGAGAGGAGGGGATGGTGTAGGGAGGCAGGGACTTTCAGTTTCAGCAACCGAGCCATTGGGGCAAGACCTAGGGATGAGCTTCTGTACTCATTAGGCCTGACACTCCTCCAAGTCTGTGCAGATCGTCTTCTTGCTAGTGAAGAGTTAACTCCAACTTGCAGTGTGATTTACTGCAGGCTCCTTCCTGTCAGGAATCCAACAGCAGGGCAAAGGATCCAGCACAACACTCAGGCAAAGAAAGCTACTGACCTGGTATCTACAGCTCCATTAAAAGTGGGGGAGCCTCTTCTAAGACAGTGCCTGTGATTTGCATTTTTTAATAAGTACAAGTATTTAAAATAAGTATTATTTATTTAAAATAATGTGCTGCCAACTTAACCAGGGGCACCTTTTTAGTGGATCAAATGTTTTTCAGTTAATTAATCTAACCAACTAATCAACTAAACGTTGCAACCCTGCTCAGCAGATACCATGACAATAGATTAAGAGGAAGCCTATCAAGCAGGAATACCATTAAGAGTAGACCAGGGGCCCCCCACATTTCAGAGCTCTGTAATTGTTCCTCTGTAGCACGTACATGCCTGGCAAGCTCACTGGTTCTATGCACTGAATAGCTGTAGTTATAAACAAGGAAATCAGCTTGCGTGGCGGCACATGCCAAGAAAGGCACAAGTCCCTTAGCTTAAGAAGAACAATGACGACTTAGCTCCTTTTAATTACGAGAAAACACAAAAAAACACTGCTTTTTTCTGCCATTTAATTTCAAAACCCATTATTATTGTCATCAGTATTCCTAAGGACAAAGCTATAGCCTGTTCTGAAAACCTCCTTCTCTGCCTTGAAAAATAAATTCCCCCAACCTATAACTGAAATGGAACATGCTACGTAGGAATTTCACACTTCCTGTAGGAAATGCATAATGTTTGAAGCCATCCTCAGTGGATTACTGGGAAGGGCACTCTGGCTTTAGCTTACAAAGCACTGCTAGAGCATGTAGAGTTATTGATTTATCTTACAGAATTCTGCTATGCAGTGTAGTTCTTTCTGATTTAGCTTTTATAGCACTGCGGGGATCATTTAATATTTTTTTTCTCCTCAAAAGACCTCTGATGTACTTTATTAATCAGAACATGTACCTTGCATCAAGTCAAATTTTAAGAAACAGTAACCTGGTTCGGATCTAAAATACCGATTTCTGGACACTGCCCTTTACTTGCATTTATTGACTCCTCCCTGTTCATCCTCTCTCTCTATCTTGTTTTAATCAAGCAGGATTGCAGCTTCAGCTAAATTTTCCTTCTGAAGAAGAAATGCACTGATGGTCAAGGTCGATGGAAAATTGACATTTATGACCAGCCGTGTATTTCCTTCCAATGCCTATGCATCTACAATTCAGGAGACTTTCTACAGGTGGGGCTATAATTATGGTTCCTCCAACTCCCATCCAGCTTCTTTCATCTTTTTGTTGTTGTTCTACAATTCAATGTAGTGTTGTTGTTGTTGTTGTTGTTGTTGTTGTTAAGTCTTATGAAAAGGTGGCATCAGGTTAAGTGGCAAGGTAGAGGGCAGAGAAGGGGCTGATTTAAACCAAGGACAGCCAACATGGCCCCTTCCAGATATTGTGGTTTACAAATCCCATCATCCCTCAACCTTGTCCATCCTAAGGGCTGATGGGACTTGTAGTCCTTGTAGAGAGCACCGTGTTGGCTACCCCTGGTTTATCTCTTTCTTCCCCAACAGCCATTTTGTGCCTCAAATTCCCCTACCCCTGGTTCCTTTTCTCCCCCAAATGTGAAAGATACATGGATCTCTGTGTTTCCATCCGTCTGGAAAAAGAGCAGCTAGGGGAATGGATTGAGTAGACACACGGCTAGGAAAGAAAAAGAAGGTGTGTAGAGCATAAGGTTTGTATCCAAGAGGCAATGGCCAGATTCAATTCCTGGCATCTCCAGGTAAGGCTGCGAGAGATCACTGTCAGAAACTCTGGAGAACTTTCACCTGTCAACATAGATGACACTGAGCTAGATTGACCAATATACCAACACAACCTTGACCTTCTTGTATTCTTGCTGTTCTAACATGACCAGAGCAGAGTGGGATGAATCCAGGGGGAGAATGTCAACTTCCTGATACTTAAGAGCTAACCTGTACCTTCTTGAATCTACCTGCACATTTTTCTCTTGGCAGAATGTCACATCATACGCCCATTCTCACCCCCACCTTCCCTTCTAATGCAGTATTCATAGTGGCCTCTGTCCCTTCTTGCACCTTCCTGCGGATTTTCACACTATCCGATCTCCCAGCTTTTAGTAACAACACGTACAGAATTGTTGTAGCACTCCATTATGCACTCATTAAATTTAATGCATTCTTCTGAACGACTTTCCTAAAGGAATTGCATCTGACCCTTTCTCTTGGCCTTTTCTAGGGCATCTGTTTCGTGCTGTTCCCAATATCACCACATCTTCCTATCCCACAATTTCAAGAACCATCCCATCTGTTAAACCTGTCACTTCTGAAAAGGAGCCTTTAGTCTCTGCCTTAACAATATGCACCACAAAGTACTTCTTTGCCTGTGATTATCCATCGCTTTCTTCTCCTATTCAACACTTGCTTCTGCATGGCCCAAACTAGCCTAAATACCGTATTTTTCCATCTATAAGATGCCCCCATGTATAAGAAGCCCCCTATTTTGGGGGACTCAGATTTAAGAAAATGGGGGGAGATGGCCTCATGTATAAGATGCCCCCTAATTTTTGACATTATTTTTTTAAGGGGAAAACCTAGTCTTATACACGGAAAAATACAGTATATCGGGAGGGACTCTACCCTGCAACCACACATTAAGAAACTCACTGGTAACAACAACAACAACAAATAATAATTATTACTTGTACTCTGCCCATCTGACTGGGTTGCCCCAGTCACTCTGGGTGGCTTCCAGCAGAATATGAAAGAACACATGATGTATCTGACATAACTCCCATATCTACAGATTGTTAAGCATGTTGCACAAGCCGCATACATACCTTTTTAAGGCAATTGATGAGGGCTTAGAACATATGTGACTCTCCAGATGGCACTAGATTCCAATTCCCATCAGCCCTAGGTCAGCATGGTCAATGGTTAGAGGCGATGGGAGTTGTAATGCTGCAATATCTGGAGGGCCACAGGTTCCCCATCCATGTCTTAGAACATGGCTTCTCAAATGGGTCTCCAACTGTTTTTGGACTACAATTCCCATCATGCTGGCCACTGGTCCTGCAAGCTAGAGATGATGGGAGTTGTAATAATAATAATATTTTTTTATTTATACCCCGCCCTCCCCAGCCAAGGCCAGGCTCAGGGCGGCTAACAAGCAATAATAAAAACAAGTTGAATGAATACAACTTAGAAACAAGATTAAAATACAACATTAAAATACTGAAACATTAAAATATTAAAATGCAGTCTCATCACAGGAGGAGAAAAGAAAAAGAAAAAAGAAAGAGAGGGAGGGAATCAAACTGATTCTAAGCCAAAGGCCAGGTGGAACAATTCTGTCTTACAGGCCTTGCGGAAAGAAATCAGATCCTGCAGGGCCCTGGTCTCATGAGGCAGAGCGTTCCACCAGGCCGGAGCCAGTGTTGAAAAGGCCCTGGCTCTGGTTGAAGCTAATCTAACTTCCTTAGGGCCCGGGACCACTAGGGTGTTGCTATTTATGGACCTTGAGGCTCTCCGTGCGGCATACCGGGTGAGGTGGTCCCATAGGTACGAGGGTCCTAGGCCATGAAGGGCTTTAAAGGTAGACAAAACCTGGCTTAGAACTTCATCACTTCAAAAGTCTTTCCACGTAATTGCCCTCTGAGGCAGATATAAATGTTATAAAGTACTTCACAAGTTATGGTTCCTACATCTTTTAAGACTATGACACAATGAACATCAATGTTTGTATTTGCCATGCAGAGAGACACATTATATTGACCTTAATTTTCATCTGCCGCCAAGTCCTGCTTCCATTTCAAAGCAGATCATTGTAGTTTACACTTGTGAGCAAATTACCAATAACAGGTGGTGGTTGTTTTTTAAAAAAGAATTATACAGAAAGGCTAGAAGTCATTGAGAATTAATAATTATTACTGTTACTACTCAGTTGTGCTTTTGTGCATCTCCTTCACACTTTGTTTACTTTCAGCTTTCTTTATTATCAACTAGTTCAGGTTTTAAATGGTGAGATATGAACCTCAGAGTTCTTATTCTGCGTGGCAACCAAAGTCATTTAATTAATAAATCAAAACTTTAACCTCGATCTTGAGTTTTGCTGCAGTTATAGCTTTTTGTTATCAGGAAACTTCAAAAGGCCTGCAGTGCCGTAAAACATTGCTAAGCTGTGTGTTTTATTTTGTTTTTTAATATCTATCTATATGTATATATTTTAAAGGAGCCATGATAAATAAGCCCATGTCATGCATTAAAAGAAGAAGAAGCCTTGTTATCCTCAGGGATTGCTTTATTTTTCTAGTTATTTCCTTGTGTGTGTGTGTGTGTGTGTGTGTGTGTGAAGCACCATATTTGTGCAGGTGCGTGAAGTGCAATTTAGCGCTTCTGTGCATGCACGAGCGGCGAAACCCGGAAGTAACCCTTTCTGGTACTTCCGGGTCACCGCGGGATGCAACCCGAAAAAGCATAACATGATGCAAATGTAACATGAGGTATGACTGTATATTCTTCATATTTTAAACTTTTGGTTTATGAAAATGCATATAACAATCCCATTATACCTCCTCATATTTTTATCCCACTGTTCAGCCATATATCGTCACCAAAGAATGGTTCGCATCAATTAAAAGAGAGAGGGCGGAGCAGCTATACAAGGAAAGGGGAATGGAGTCGCTGTTAAAGAAGAGAGACCCAGTGGGGAACACTGGAACGAAGTGGTGAGTTGTAAATGAGCATCTATAGCCACCTGGAACCAAGTAGGTATTCTCATACTTGTACAAAGGTGCTGCAGCTGACTTGGCAGACCTTGCTCCTCTGACGGGCAGCAGAAGAGATCAGATAAGACCTCCTCCTCTCACTTCTATAGTCTACAGCAACTCCTTTGGTCATTTGCCATGCAGTGCCACTTTACATTGCAGAAGATGTTAAGATGTGTTTGGAGTGAATGCCACACCTGTAGTGCCTCTCACCTTTGCCATATGTAGCCTGGAAGGATGTCAATGCATTGGCACTACCTTGGAGATGTGCACATTCCGGGAGAAGATCACAGGAGGCAAACAAAGGTAAAAGGTAAAAAAGGTAAAGGACCCCTGGATGGTTAAGTCCAGTCAAAGGCGACTATGGGGTTGCAGTGTTCATTTCGCTTTCAGGCCGAGGGAGCCGGCGTTTGTCCACAGACAGCTTTCCGGGTCATGTGGCCAGCATGACTTAACCGCTTCTGGCACAACGGAACACCGTGGCGGAAACCAGAGCACTGCATGGAAACGCTGTTTACCTTCCTGCCGCAGCAGTACCTATTTATCTACTTGCACTGGCGTGCTTTCGAACTGCCTTTAAACTACCTTTAAAGCACTATGATACCACTTTGAACGGTCATGGCTCCCCCCTGCCCTCCCAAATGGGAGCTGTAGTGTGTTAGGGGTGTTGAGAGTTATTAGGAGGCACCTATTCCCCTCACAGAACTACAATTCCCAAGGTTCCCTGTTAAACCACCCTGGGACTTCTGCTGGTAGCTCTGTACAGTGGTACCTCGGGTTAAGTACTTAATTCGTTCCGGAGGTCCGTACTTAACCTGAAACTGTTCTTAACCTGAAGCACTACTTTAGCTAATGGGGCCTCCTGCTGCCGCCGCACTGCCGGAGCACGATTTCTGTTCTCATCCTGAAGCAAAGTTCTTAACCTGAAGCACTGTTTCTGGGTTAGCGGAGTCTGTAACCTGAAGCGTCTGTAACCTGAAGCGTATGTAACCTGAGGTACCACTGTACTCCTTTCATTGGTGCTGCTCTGCACCCTCACTGAATGTTTCCGCCTAGCTGTAATACAACGCTGAACTATGATAATGCTTCTTGTTTGTCTGGAATGGAGAATACAGAGAGGTGCATGAATGTGTGTAGAAACTACCCCACTGTACAAAGGTTAATTCGTATTTGTTGCTCTGCTCCTGCCTACGGCTTGCAAGAAAGTTGCTCGGAAGGGGCTCCCAGGGTGAAAATGGTTCCCCATCCCCGATGTAAAGTTAAAAAAAGAGCAAAATTGGGCAGGCGGAAATCGGCCTTATCTTTACCTTTCTGGCACGTGAGCGGAAAGAAAAGAAAAACACATGCTAGGCCACCCCAGCCACAACAGTTGCCCTCTTTATGGTGGCTTTTCCTGGCCTTGCAGGACTGTGTGGGTGCAATGATGCTCTAGGGTTAATGCACAATCCCATGCCTTAACTCTGCAGAGGTCCAACCATTGCGTCCAATCCTAAAATAGTTAATGCGGCAGCAATGTCTAGGTTTTTCTTTTAAAAAAACACTATTAACTATATTTTGATGATTATATAACATCTCCTGTTTTTAAAGTCTACTTTATTGCTATTTTTCATAAATATCTCATGCCCTTTTATGCAAACCGCATAGATTTTTAAAAGTTAAAAAAACCAGCAAAGGAATACGTATACAAACATTTACCCCCAAAATGGCAGCCTGTGTTCACTCACGCCGAGTAGAACCAGTGCTTTTCTTCTAGGAAAACAAAATAAAAGGTTCCAGTACTGTGCACCCTTCAATACCCCCAGAAAAAAAAATACTGAGTAGAACTGATTTGTAGAAAGGAGCTTTCATGATTTGAAAACAGAGACAGTGTGTGTACTTTTGTAACCCAAGAAAATCTTTAATAATTTTTTTTTAAAGTACATTTTAATTAGAAGCACAAGAAGGCATTCAGATTTGATAAGATTTCTCTGGTGAAAACCACAATGTAAGGAATTATTAAGGGAAACGGACATTTGTCTTGGATTCCCCCAGTTCTGAAAAGCGCAAGTTATTTCAGGTCAGCATAGATGTATGCTTTTAATCAGAGAACTTTGGCTCCTTTTCCTGGCACTGAGCAAGGAAACACACTATAATAATCCCAACAGCATAGGCAGTGGAATGGATCAATGCATTGGTTAGGATAATAACTTAAGAGCACTTGTGCCTTATATGAGGCCGCAAGCTTCTTCCTGCTCTCCGTGCTTCCAATTAGAATTTAGGCCCTCATTCCGGCTGGATACAGCGGCAAGGCTTGCAGACACCTAGGGCTAAATAAGCCAACCAGCAGAGGCCAAGAGGGTTGTCAAAGTAGGGTACATTTAATATATTGAGCTGACAGAGAGCAACCTCATTATTGCTGAAACGTGCTCTCTTCCTGCTAACCTCTTTGATCCTCTGTCTCCCGTGCCTTTTCAAACCCCCTCCCCACAGCTCAATAAGGATTATTCTCCCTTGCACACTCATAAGGGTTTTTAAAGCCTGGGTAGTTGCATTTTAAGAGCTCTACCTTAGTCATAATAATCCCCCGGTGCTCAACGAGATGCTGGAAAGGCGGATGAGTTGTTTATTCATAAAGCTCCACAGCTCCCACCCACAGGGCTTTCAACCGGGTTTCTGGCGGGAGCAAGAAACCTAGTTGGCTTAATGAGAAATAACTGCATAGCCCTCACTATGCAAATATCTACATTCTGACTGGCTGAAATAAAGAGGCGGGACCATGCAAGGGGCAGGAAGTGAGGTTCTCCATTGCAAACCTTTTGCTATGCAACGGTCTTTCTTTTCCTCATTTAACTTGGAATGGCCAAGTCTGTCACTTTTGGATTCCCTTCATTTCTCTGTTTCCCAATCTTTAATTCAGTCCATATTTCCAAATCAGCTTGCGATCCCCCACCCTGCACCAAATCCTTGTAAAAATCATCAGCATTTTCCTGCACATCTCTTCTCATATACACAGGATGTCATTTTAGCCTAATATACACATTTCCGCCAGCAAGCTCCCCTAATGTAATGCCCGTTGTTGTATTTTAATTATTAATGGCATTTTCATCAATGCATCCATTCATTTCAAAATGCACATTTCCCCCAAAGTTAGGTATATAGTGGTACCTCGGGTTAAGTACTTAATTCGTTCTGGAGGTCCACTCTTAAGCTGAAACTGTTCTTAACCTGAAGCACCACTTTAGCTAATGCAGCCTCCTGCTGCCACTGCTCAATTTCTGTCCTCATCCTGAGGTAAAGTTCTTAACCCGAGGTAATATTTCTGGGTTAGCGGAGTTTGTAACCTAAAGTGTATGTAATTTGAAGTGTATGTAACCCGAGGTACCACTGTATATCTTTGGCTGGACAACTGCACTGCAAAATTTGGAGAAGTGCACATTTTGGTTTTTTTTAATGATATTTATTGAGAATTTTAAAGTTACAAAGAAAAAAGAAGGAAAAAACAAGAGAAAGAGAAAAAGAAAGAAAAAAGTAGATAAAAGTAACAATTAAACAATACAAATCAATAAAAAGAAAAAACAAAAAAACAAAACACACAATGCATCACAATCAAAAAGCAAAAATAAACAAAAAATTTAAAAACAAATCCAATATTCCCAAATCCTTAACTTTCATTAACTTATTTCATCGACCTCCTCACACCTCCCTTTTTGTATTCTAGTTGTTAATTATCTCAGCAAATCCTTTCCATCTTTCACAATATTCTGTCATTAAATTACCTTAATCTATTTTAACCTTATCTTACCATAAAAAACCCTAAAACTTAAAACTTAAATCTTATTTATACCAAATTCTTTTAACCATAACATATTCTTACATAATTCTTTTTAACATTTCTGCTAAAGCCAAATAATTTCATTCCAACATTTTTCTAATACTCATTAATTTTACGATACTTTTCTAAATAAATTTTTAAAACTTTCTTCCAGTCTTCATCCATCATCTCTTCTTCCTGGTCTCGGGTTTTGTCAGTCCTTTCTATCCCATCCATCTAGTCCATCAACCTGGTGACCTTATATCAGAGGCTCTTAAGTCTTTTCCATGTCCCTTCCGCAGGTCTTCTTCATGTTTATACCTGTACTTTACTTTGTCTTCTGCTCCTTTCACTCGGGGAGACTCCAGCTTGACAATATTTTTGTCCCTTCTCGACAAGTCATCCCCTTTTCCATAGTCAACACTGAAATCCATGTGGTATTTAAAGGCATGTTTCAAGGTCCCTCCAAAGTTAGGGGCCCCCACAACTCCGAGCTCCCCCCGGCCTAAAGCCAGACTTGAAAGGTCAAAACATCCCTGCATAGGGGGGTCCATCCAGCCCCCCATCTCCAAGCCAAACAGAACTCCATCTCTCCAAATCTGACTTTTTCCAGGTTCATTCGTCAAATCCAACAACTCATGTTCCTGCTGGGCCACAGCTCCCTCCATCTCTGCCACCCGAGGTCCAGCAACAACCTCCTCCCTCATCTCATCTGTCAAAGCACATTCCTGGATTAATTCCTGAGTGGGTTCTATATAGGTACCCACTGCCTGTCCAAAATTTCCAATCGCAACAGTCATCAAATCCATCTTCTCATGTAACTGTTCCAATAAAGCACTTGTCTTGCAAAAGGCAAGCACCAGAGCCTCTGAGCACATTCTTGTTCAAGGTCGAAGTCTGGTCCCACGATCTTTAATCTTTACAGCTGCAAAGCTCCCCAGTTCGACTTTAATAACAGTTTCACAAGCTCCCTCTAGGGGAAACAATTTCTATTTGTATCCATCTTTTTTTTTAAAAAAAAAAAGCAGATCTAGCAACAAAGTTTTCCTTTTTCAGATACTTTGTCAATATTTTGTTCCTTTTAAATGCGAAAGGGAACAATGGAATCAATATGTTTCTCTTCTTTTAACTATCTGTCAAAAACGTTTGTCCATAGTCAATGAACTTCTCCAAAACGTCTGTCTTGACACCCCGTTCCCAGGTTCAAGACGGTGGAAAATTACCTTTCTTTACTCTCTCTTCTGCAGGTTTAAACAGTCTAAAAAGGTTCCCCCCTCTTCTCCTGCTTCCAAGGGGGGTTCAGTAATTTTAAATGATGAAAATTTAGTCCTTTACAAACGACTTTCTAAACTCTAGCTTACCATGTCTTTGCTTCAATCTATCTACAAAACCGGAAGGCGGACTTCCTGTTTAGACCTTCCCGCTTTCGGTGCCTAATTAAGAAATTTCATAGTCCAATTTTCCGTTCTACTCATGGGCAGTTGTTTAAAATCCAATTATCCACAGGAAAAAGTCAGCGCTCTCCGGCAACAGCAATGCGGCTTCACTCCGTGAAAGAAGCAGTTGATTCAAAGCACCGCGCCACTCACCCCACGTCGCTCCGGATCCCCAAAACAGGGTTTACCCACGAGTAGGGGGGGCACAAAGGTGCCAGCCGAATCCCACGTCCACAGGCTTCTCCCGCCTGTGGTTTTTGATGGGTCTCCGCCTCGCCGTGGCAGTTCAGACCCTGTTTTCCACGGAGCGGATTCCTCCCGGAGGAAATCCGCCATTGCCAGAGGCGCCAACCCGGAAGTTAACCCGAGGTAATATTTCTGGGTTAGCGGAGTTTGTAACCTAAACTGTATGCAATTTGAAGTGTATGTAACCCGAGGTACCACTGTATATCTTTGGCTGGACAACTGCACTGCAAAATTTGGAGAAGTGCACATTTTGAAGTCTAGTCATGATTTGGCTTGTATAGTGGTACCTCGGGTTACATACGCTCCAGGTTACATATGCTTCAGGTTACAGACTCTGCTAACCCAGAAATAGTGCTTCAGGTTAAGAACTTTGCTTCAGGATGAGAACAGAAATCGGGCTCCGGCGGCGCGGCGGCAGCAGGAGGCCCCATTAGCTAAAGTGGTGCTTCAGGTTAAGAACAGTTTCAGGTTAAGAACAGACCTCCGGAACAAATTAAGTACTTAACCCGAGGTACCACTGTATATTGTTTGGGGAAGAGTGAATGAAGTAGGTTCGCATAAAAATGCAAATGAATCCGAATTCCTGCTCCCGCCCCTACATTTGACATCTCATAATGAGGTTCAACACCCTTCCACTTTCTCTTTTGCATTCCTTCAAACACAAACACATGCGTTTTTCCCAGACACTCCCTCCAAAGAGCAACGGTTTAGATATTCGTATTCAGAACGTTGGCAAAACAACAACAAGCGGGGAACTCATCCATCAAACTGAATTATGCACTCACCTGATCCGGCAAGTGAGATCTGCATGCAAAAACAGGTTTGCATGCCTGCAGCTGATCCATATTGCATCCAGGGCAACGAAATGTTGCCAGAATCATTCAGTTCAATTTCTCTGAGAATGTGTGAGTGAGTGACAGAGAGAGAGAGAAATGACTTGCACATGACTAGGGCTTGGATTGTGGACTCCCGTTGCTTTTCAACATTTCAAAAATAATATTAATGCAAAGTCATACTTTAACTTTTGTTTGATCTGCTTTTGGTTGAGAATTATAACCTAGAATAGAATCATAGAATCATAGAGTTGGAAGAGACCACAAGGGCCATCGAGTCCAACCCCCTGCCAAGCAGGAAACACCATCAGAGCACTCCTGACATATGGTTGTCAAGCCTCTGCTTAAAGACCTCCAAAGAAGGAGACTCCACCACACTCCTTGGCAGCAAATTCCACTGTCGAACCTGAAGTCATAAATGATACATCATTAATTTAAATTATATAATTATCAGCACCTTTCTGGCTACTAAAAGCTAGTCAATGTAAGGAGGCTATAAATTGCCAGGCCTTGCTTAGAGAAGTCTCACTGAAATAAATGAGCATGAATATGTTAGGGCCATTAATTTCAGAACGTCTAACTCTATAAGTACAACTTAAGTTAACAGCACACTAAATCTGGGCTTTGTCAAATCACAAAAATAAGGGATGCACATTTGTATCTCACTGATTACATGGGTTTTTGGGCCCAGTTTATACTTTCAGTGCAGCTTAGATAACTATAGTCCATTTCCCCAATTAATTGCCAAGTTGGTTGCATTTAAATAGAAAGGTATTTAATGCATACAATGCCATAAAAAGCTCAAACCTTAACAATAATCCAAAACACCGTGCTACACTGCAGTAATAAAGCCAGCAGTGGTAAAACCAAGCAAGAAACTGACCAGCCAGTAAACAGAAAAGGCATGGAGAAAAACTGTAAAACAGGCACATTACTGGTACATGGTTCAGCTATTTTTTTCCAAAGCGTGTTCAGCAATTGGGGCAGGACAACTGAGAAGGCACTTTCTCCCAGAACCGCTCAGCTCATCTCCAATGACAGAACAGTACCTTTAATGAAGTTCCCAGAAAACAGGCAGATTTTATAACCACACTACATATATAACTAAGGGGTGCAGGTGGCGCTGTAGTGTAAACCACTGAGCCTCTTGGGCTTGCCGATCAGAAGGTTGGCGGTTCAAATCTCCGTGAGGGGGTGAGCTCCCGTTGCTCGGTCCCTGCTGCTGCCAACCTAGCAGTTCGAAAGCACGTCAAAGTGCAAGTAGATAAATAGGTACCGCTCCAGCGGGAAGGTAAACGGTGTTTCCGTGCGCTGCTCTGGTTTTGCTAGAAGCAGCTTAGTCATGTTGGCCACATGACCCAGAAAAACTGTCTGCGGACAAACGTCAGCTCCCTCGGCCAGTAAAGCGAGATGAGCGTCGCAACCCCAGAGTTGTTCACGACTGGACCTAATGGTCAGGGGTCCCTTTACCTTTACATATATAACTATGTGGCACCAGTGGGCATCAGCCCAGCACTTCTTACAGTGCAAAGCCAGGAATTTTGGGAATCTGGCACTGGGATTCTTGCTATATTGAGGGCCTTGGCACTGGCTCAATGATGCCACCCTTCCGAGAGAACTTACAAGCATATAACTAATCGCCCCTAACGTTGAATGGCCATTTTTGCACTTGACTGAGTTGTGAACTATTACACCACCAGCAACCATAGTCAGTTTAAATGATGCCACCTCTCTATGTGAACATCCCCCCTCGAGCATGTATAACCTTATTGCCACTGAATCTCAACAGCCATTCTGCCAATCAAACACTGACGAAAGGCTTTGACCGAAAGTAGTAAAACACCTGTTTGAAGATAATCTTCGGGAAAGATTAGATAATCTTCAGGGGAGAAATTGCACCAGTTAGCCTGCTATTCATTCAAACTCAACTGGCTTTACAGCAAAAGCAGTGATTCAGCGATACATTCCCCCCCCCCTTCACGAAAGGTTCTTACTCCTGGCAAAGTCCTAGATGCACATGGTCAATTGCACATCAGATTTAGGTAGCTTGTGCATGATTTTCTCTGCTGGATACATAAATCGCTTTCCAGGAGATAAAAATCAGGAAGGGATTAGCCAGGGATGAATAAGTGATATGAACACACACACACACACACACACCTTCTGAATTTCTATGAGAAGCTCGATATATACACCCCTTCTCACATTACAAAACATTTGATGGAACTCGCTACTACGTGTGTGTGTGCGTGTACAATTAAAAATCAGGAAGGTTTGCTCCTGAGAAGGGAAGCTGACATGATCTATTGATCATGAGAACTGCTCTCTAGTCAAGTATCCACTTCTGTGGCAATGGATGTGCTTCTGAGACAAGGGCGAACAATTCCCTCTAAGAGCATTGCTTGTGTTCGAGACAAAACAATACCTGTAACGTATCACTGAGGACCATTAATGTAACAAAGTACCTGGTAACATTTCACCAGAGGATAACGGGAGATTCCTGAGAGGAGCCGCCATGGAACGAAGGCAACTTTTCAAATCTATTTATCAACCACTCAATGTTCTGGTCTTTTAAACTCAAGGAAAAACAAATGGAATACAGGAAACAATGACAGGCAATCAATAGACAAAGACAAATAAATAGAGCTGAACGCAGACGTCTGATGCTGGTGCTGTGTGGCGCATAAAAGCAGCCCGGAACAATTTGAAACCGAATCAAGAACTAAGACCATTTGGCCCAAGACAGTTTGCTTCCAGACAAGCCTATTACATGTGTAGAAGCCAACTCAACTTGCAGCTGATGGTAACTTCAGCTAAGAGGGACAGGGACAGATCAGGCAGAGGTAAATGGCCTGGTGGCTCAGGCGAAAGGCTGGAGGGGCTATCGCTGTTCCCTCAACCTTACAACCCAGCAAGCCCAATGGTAGGGCTGGCCCTGTTGCAAACTAAGCCTATGAAGTTTATGAAAGTCATCTCTTTCTTCCTTGCTGCTCATTACGCCTAGAAGTGTCACCCAGGAAATGTACCTCTCGTTTCCTGCAAATCCTTCCTCAAAGCCCATGTTTTCCATGAAGCCTTTATCCCAGCTCCTTACTCCCCGTTAGGATTGGGACGATCGGTATATTTCCAGTCCATGATATAGCTTCACATGCACTTATTCATAAGTCTGTTCCACCCATGGGCTGTGAATCCTGGAAGATCTGCTGCCTGCTTTTCAGGTTTTTTCCCACCTCGCCTGGGAGGATTGACTCCAGCTACAAAAAGGCTGGGGAAGAGGGTTGCTGTTGCTATTTTGCAACTTTATTTTAGATCTTCTTGCAATTTATGTGGAAATTGTTCAGTTTGGTTGTGCATTTTAAAATTGTTTTAGTTATTGTTTATGACTACTTTTGTTATGCATTTTTTTTTCACGTTCTAAGCCACATTGAGCATGATTTGAACTGTGGAAAGGCAGCACACACTCACCACCTCTTCCTTCTCCTGCTGAACTAAATGAACTGCAGAAATGCTGCCCTGTACTCCCAACAAATTAGGAGCCCCTTTTAGAAGTTTAGGAGGGTGTTCTAAATACTCAGGGAACACATATATCTTAGCACCTGACTTGATAGGTGTGTATATGTTAAGGGGAATGAGCTAAGCTGAGTAGTTAATAAGCATAACAATGAGCCAGACCTCACAGAGAATGTGCACACAATTCATCAACGAAGAGAGAACTGTGCACATTGCACAGGCGACATGCATTATCTTCAGCAGGCCTTGGAGAATGTTCACATTTAGGTGGAATTTTGTACTGGTCATTATGCATAATCCCCCTTAGGTCTTGGGGAATGTGCACATCTTGGCTGTGTTTTGTAAATTCTACATAATCTCCAAAACGCCTTGGGGGTGTACATTTTGTGCATTCTCTAGGCAATATGCACATTCTCCAGTCAGTATGTGTTGTCTCCAAGAAACATGCCTTTTTTTCTTATATGTGGTTGAGAAGTGTGTGATCTGGACCCCCTGGGCTGCTTCTGACCCACAGCCTAATCTTACAAGGGCTGCAACATACCCTGCACAAGGGGGGAGTATAAGATATAAAACATACAATTTGGGCAGTCTCATAGCGAGATGTTGAAATTGTAGCAAAGTCGTAGACATCAACACCAAAACATTCAAACACAGGAAAGAGAGTTATTTCACACAGAATATTTTTCTGTTTTGTTTTAACTTACATTGTGTTTGTTCTAGTGTAGTCCAAATTTTTGCTCGTTCTAATCTTTACGGCTTTCCCATTTTATACTTAATGTAACATCAGTCAATGTCAGTTGTTGGGCATTATAAAAAAGACTGCTAATAAATAAATAAAGCAACCAATCCTAATCCGGTAATGCAGCTGTCATCACTGCTAACGGAATTTATCAAACGCAGATTCAAGGACTTTTAAATGATGAAGACAGAAGCCAACATATTTTAGACCAGTCCTGAGGCTGCTCTGCTATTAAAGGGGAAGAATTGAGTCCAACAGAGACCAAATTTAAGCTAGGGGAGGCTGGCAGGGTGCCATTACATTGCTATTAATCCCACTCAAATGAACTGAAAATGTACTGAATGGTACCTGATGATCTAGTGTGAGCAGATATTAGTGCTAGGTTAGGAATGCTACTCAGGCCCACTAAAGATATTGGAACTGTATGCTCTGTGCAGCAGCGCTAAGACAATTACTCTAAAACAGAGAGGGAAAACTTGAAAGAAATTTGGTATTTGTGTTTTCTCTTTTTTCTTTTCTTGCTGTATCAATTAAAAAGGAAAAAAGAAAGTCATACCAAGCAGCAAATAACACAAAATATTAAACTCTAGGGAAAGTAAGAGAGCCGTATTAAATCACAGCACAATACAGGATTAAAAGTATCAGATTTTAAAAGTCGCTGAAGATAAAAAAAGTCTAGCACCAAAAAGACATTGAAACAGACAACAGACAAGCCTCTCTGGGCAGGATATGCCATAAACAAGGGGCCACTGCTGATAAGGCCCTGTTGTTGTTTTTTTTGCAGGTACAAGGTATGCAATATCAAACCTTACGGAGCACTCCGGTAAGGCTTCCACTGATGATCTCAGGGCACCCACAAGGACATGCAACAAGAGGCAATCCTTCAGATACCATGGTCCCTAGCCATGACTCTGATGCTGATCTATCTAATCTTCTAATCTAATCTAACCCATCTAATCTTAGAGCAATCTTTTACATTGTTTTTAGCTCTACATTTAATGGTATACTTAACGTATTTTACTGTGTTTTATGTGCTGTGTTTTCTTCTTATCTTCTCTACCGGTCATTGACTGAAATAAAATATATACATTTCCATATCAGGTTTTTTTTAAATCCCCATGAAAAATGTTAAGCATTTTGTTTCCAATTCCTAATTCACATGGGTTAATATGCAATTTTGCCTAATATACACATTAATGCAATGCCACTTCTCCAATACAGTGCATTTTGTATGGTTCTTTTCACTAATATATGCATTTTATTGACACTTCTGTACACATTATTGGCTAGAGAGCTACTTGCAAAATTTGGAGACGTGGGAATTTCAAAGGCTGTTTCAGTTCTATTGATTCGGAAAGTGCAAATAAGGTGGGTTTGCTTTTAATTAAGAACTGAATTAAAAATCCCCCTTCCTTACTTAAGAGTAGACATGTACAGGATTGTGCTATAAATTTCTCACCAAAGTCATAGCTCTCCCCCTCCTTCCTTCCCAAATATAAAATCCGATGCAATAATATTTCTTGCCCTTCCTCACTTTGTTATTAAATCTTTCTTGAATTACTGTTCTGTATTTTTGCCTTGGGCCTTGAAACTGATGCATAGTGGTGTTTTGGCAGGGAAAGAATAATCTGCAATATTTCTAACAATATAACTTCTAATTAAAAAATGGCTACATCTGCTAATTAATATGTTTCCAACAGAGAATCATATGTGCATATGCTCCGGCACTTAGAAATACCTGTCATTAAGACTGCAAGAGTTTCGATTCTATTTAATCCTCAGACAGAATCTAAACCTCCACAAGGACAGACAGCAAGGCGGGGGGGGGACTGGGCAATTTTCTACATTAGCTCTCGATCCGATAACTGGGAGTACCCAGCATGGGGTGTAGGATATATGATATATTGCTGCATCTGCAACTAAGCCCGACAAGGACTCATTTTAAAAAATTAAAAATTATGTGAGGGCATTTGTTCTTTTTAAGCATTTCCTGGACCAGAATGATCAGCTAAAAATGGAATATAACCATTCCTAAAGATTATGACATGAGTTAAGTATTGTGAATTTAGGAAAACTGTTCTGGTTGTCTCACCTCAGAAAGGGGATTGTAGAACTGGAAAATGTTCAGGAAAAGGACAACCAAAATGAGGTTGGAGCAACTCCCCAAGAACATAAAGTTGTTTGGGACTACAACTCGCTGGGGCTGCTGGGAGTTGTAGTCCCAAACATGTGTGATGGCCTGTTTTACAAGGTTGCTGATGGCCTGTTTTAATGCTATCTCCAGAATCAGAGACAATATGCCTCTGAAGGCCCATTGGTAGGGAACAGCAGTGTCATTTCCCACTTGTGGGAGTTTCCTGGGTGCATCTGGTTGGTAAAGGTAAAGGTAAAGGACCCCTGGACAGTTAAGTCCAGTCAAAGGTGACTATGGGGTTGCAGCGCTCATCTTGCTTTCAGGCCGAGGGAGCCGGCGTTTGTCCACAGGCAGCTTTCCGGGTCATGTGGCCAATACGTCTAAACCACTTCTGGCGCAACGGGACACCATGACGGAAACTAGAGCGCATAGAAGCACCGTTTACCTTCCCGCCGCAGCGGTACCTATTTGTCTACTTGCACTTTGATGTGCTTTCGAACTGCTAGGTTGGCAGGAACTGGGACAGAGCAACGGGAGCTCACCCCGTCATGGGGATTCGAACCGCTGACCTTCTGATCGGCAAGCCCAAGAGGTTCAGTGGTTTAGACCACAGCGCCACCTGTGTCCCTAGTTGACTACATTGGAAAACAGGATGCTGGACTACATATATCCAGCAGGGTTCTTCTTATGTTCTCAAGTGAAACTGCATAGCTTTAATTAAAGCAAAGAGTTCCAGCATACAACACCTGCATTCATCTGCTTGCCTGCTTGTTTTCAGGTTCAATTTGAAGCGCTAGTATTAACCTTGAAAGCTTTCAATGGCTTAGGTTCCAAACCTGCCCCCATACAAACCTGCCCATAGTTTAAGACTGGAAGCCCTACTATCTATCCCATTCATACATGATGTTAAGCAGGTGAGTACAAGAGGCTAAGGCAAGCATCCCCAACCTTCGGCCCTCCAGATGTTTGTTTGTTTTTTTAATGATATTTATTCCAAATTTAAAGTTACAAAAAAGAAAAAGAAAAACCATACAAAATACAAAGAAGACTTTAACCATAACAAAGCGAAAAATGAACAAGTAAAAATGAACAATAAAATAGAATAAAAAAGAAGACTTAACAAAAAATATAAAAATACATTAAGTTAAAATAAAACAAAAACAGATTAAACCTTTACATAGCCTTTTCCCTTTACTTATTTCCATGACCTCCTCTCACCTCCCAATTTTGTATTCTAGTTCGGCCCTCCAGATGTTTTGGACTACAATTCCCATCATCCCTGACCACTGGTCCTGTTAACTAGGGATCATGGGAGTTGTAGGCAAAAACATCTGGAGGGCCACAGGTTGGGGGTGCCTGGGCTAAGGCTATCTCAGCTTTGGAACACCAGGGGATTCACCAGGCTCCCTCTTGTCCCCATCAAAAGGTAAGAGCATCCCACTCCACACAAGGGACTCAGCTACATCGGTAAAGAAAAACTGCTTTACATGCATTATAACGGATGGCGCTGTGGAGCCCTGTCTTTCTCCAACATGATTTCCCCTTATGAAGTTTAGAACGCATTTTCCTGAAATGCATTTTTGATACGTCTAGCTCAAGTCAAGGTGGCTTTTACAGAATGGTCTACTGTTTTACAGAGTTTATTGCTGGTTTTAATTATTGTTGTTTATGAGGTTGTTTGAATGAATATGTAATTTGAATCATGGGTGTGTGTTTAACTTTGGGTTGTATCCAATGCAAGTGCTACTCAAAGAAGCCCCACTGAAATGAATGAACCTAAGTTAGGGCTCACCCATGCTTCCACTTGTCCCCTGCCTAGAAAAAAACGGAGCTGTGAGCTTTCCACTTGCCGTGTTAGTTTCGCAGGGAAAACCCACTATTTAGAGCTAAATCGAAGCAAATGTCAAGTTCAAGAAAATACAAATTGCCGTTTGCGCCTATAGAGTAATAAAGAGGGGAATGTAACGGGACGAGAGGAAGTGTGGATAACTCCTCTATTGTGTCCATTAACTTCATTCGGTCTGCAACCCTATATAATTTATTTGGGGGGTTTACTTCATTGCAAGTTGCTTTGGCTATTATTTTAACAGAGATGTCTGATGCAATTATTAGCGATGCTTTGCTAAAGTAAACTAGCCAGGGACTCTCATCTCCTGCGATAAAACAATGAAAGGAAGGAGCTAGTCAAAGCCGTAATCAGTTGTGCTTGCAGCAACTGACTTTTCAACGCACCCACCCACCCGGTTTTACTGGCAACTGCAAATGGAGAATGGTGCACTTCATTAATGTCTTGATCCCTATTATGATCACATGGCATAAAGCTTATTGCAATTACCGTTCCTTGGTTGGCGGAAGCAACCACCATTTTAAATCGAGTCACTGAGTCAGACAGGGTTTCTAAATTATTCTTATTGACTATAATTTTCAATTAGAGCAAATAAAAGCATTAAATGACCTTTAACCTGGTTTTTGCTCTAACAGATGAGGGCTAAATTTATTGTGACAGCCCCTAATCACAGGCAGCGCTGCCTGTGATTCAATGGGCCTGGTATCTCAGCCACTGAAGGCTGAGCTGGTTAGGCTGTTGCGTGTTCAGACCCAGAAACCTCCCCCCTAAATAAATTCACGCTTGACTCAAAGCAAAAGCACTCAGGGGCTGAAGGCCCCGCGGGGCAAAAGCCCCTCTAAAGGGGAGGAAAGGGAAAGGAAGGGGAAGGAGCAAAATTAACAAAGGAGGGGAAAGGAAATAAATTGGATTTGGGAAAGAAGGGAAAACGGAAAGATATCACCAGGACGATCCGTCAAAGGTAAATCGCTCTCTCTCGGCTGCACAGTGGACATGCTGTTGCTGTTCCGAATGCACGTGCCGAAAGAGGAAGCTCTGGGTCACATGCATGGGTATATATAGGTCCCTCAACCCGTTTGGACTGCACCCCATTAACCAGACTGAACCCAGCATCGAGGGACCTACCAATCGGGTGTTGTGGCTGACCAATCTTACCCACCCACAACACAGGGGTTCGGTTTCCAGGTCTCGCCACAACATGTGCCCTCTTTAAGGGAGGACACAATTTACGGGAGGAGGTCGTATTAGAGAGGAACGCTTGCTAGTTTTGTAGGGAGTGGAGGCCTTTTCAGGTGACAAAACTGACACTGCTTTTGCACACAGCTTTACTATTGCCTCCAAAACAATTGTTCACACTGAATGCACCATTCTCCAAGCCTTAGGGGGGAATGAGATGTCATGAGAGACACAGCACAGCTACAACCCATTAGCTTCTTAACTCCCTTCCAATGTCTGGCTCCATGACTGCCAATGTACAGCAATCATTGTTATGTTCTTGGGACTCCAAAACCTATCAGCCCCAGCCTGCATGTGCAATGCTCAGGGATGATAAGATGTGTAGTCCAGCTACATCTGGAGGGCACTATGTTGGCTGTCCCTGGTCTACTTTACCCCAGACATCACGTCATTACACTGTATATTGTTGCAAACTCCTACTAGCCAATCATACACTGCGTAGCACAACGATGCTGTCATGTTATGGCTTGTGTTAAACTTAAAATATTGTCAGATAATGACAATGTCAGATAATGTATCATATAAGTTCCACTCTTACTGCTTAGTGTAGTGTGAATATGTATGTGTATTTTGGTGACTGTATTATTATATGGCAGGGGATTGCAATGTTTGTGAGATGTTCCTGACATACAGTGGTACCTCAGGTTACATACGCTTCAGTTTACAGACTCTGCTAACCCAGAAATAGTGCTTCAGGTTAAGAACTTTGCTTCAGGATGAGAACAGAAATCGTGCTCCAGCAGCACGGTGGCAGCAGGAGGCCCCATTAGCTAAAGTGGTGCTTCAGGTTAAGAACAGTTTCAGGTTAAGTACGAACGAATTAAGTACTTAACCTGAGGTACCACTGTACTGCATTTGTGCTGCATTAGATGTATTTTGGTGGTGTTTGTTTTGTGGTTCAGAGTTGTTCTACTGAGGAACATTGTTCAGAGGCATTTAATAACAGCTACTTAAAATGTGAGAATATTATTACTATTAGCAGCAGCATTCTTTGATTTTGAACGTGGAATTTGCATTGCATTTCTTCTACTGCTTCTCTTTTTTTGTAGGTATAATGTTATTAGCTTCTAAATTATGATTCGGCTTCCACATGTGTCTCAAGGAAATTTACAAATATATCAGAAAAACAGCTAAAAATAGTTTTGATACGAAGGCAAAATAAAAATTAAACACAGATTTTTACAAGGAATGCAGAATGAGCACCTACAGCACCTAAGACGTTTTCCTCCAGCTGGAAACGCTTGTCAAAGCAAAAGTGTAATGTAAACATTGCATTTGTAAGTTGCTTACGGATTTCTGTTGAAATATGAAACAGTATACAGTATACAGTAGACACTTCCGGTATGATGGCGGACAGCTAAAGATTGGGGACTAGCTATAATTGTTCCCATATTTAAAAAGGGCAACCCCTCTGATCCATCTAATTATAGACCAATTAGTCTCCTGAATGTGATCTGTAAACTTTATACAAAACATCTATGCCTAAAATTATGGGAATGGTTAGATCATAACAACTTGCTAGAAATTGAACAAGCAGGGTTTACATCCGGACGTTCCACCATTGATCACTGCTTAGTGTTAGATTACTTTGTCTATAAGTATGCGAAATATTGGAAAAAGTCATTATATGCGGCCTTTGTGGACCTAAAGGCAGCATTTGATTCTGTATCTAGGAGCAGGCTCTGGGCCAAATTGGCCAATATGGGTATTAACAGAAGGTTATTACTTCTGATGATTAAGCTTCATGAGAACAATACCCTCCAGATAAGACTTGCACAGGACGGCAGACTCTCTAGAGAAATCCCAGTCCAAAGAGGAGTTAGACAAGGATGCCTATTAGCCCCATTCCTATTTAACATCTATGTTAACTCCCTGGTCACATGCTGCCGTGAAATTGAAACCCACCCCCCTGTGTTCTCTAATGGCAGAAAAGTACCAATTTTAATGTATGCGGATGACGCCGTTCTTCTCTCTCAAACCAAAGTGGGTCTGAAACGCGCCTTAGGAAAGTTTAGTGACCAATGTAACACTGAACTGCTAACAATTAACTTTGCCAAAACCAAAATTGTACATTTTAACCGCTCCTTCAGGAAGGATAATTGGAGCGTAAAGGGAAACGCCATTGAACAGACTAAGACCTTCCAATATTTAGGCATTACTTTCTCTTATAATGCCAAATTCTCAGCACACTTGACCACATCAGCTATATCAGCAGAAAGAAGTGCAAATGCTATCCTTAGATTATTCAGAAGGAAAGGAGCTGGCTTCCTCCCGATGGCCCTAACAGTCTTTCAGGCAAAATCTTTAGCCCAACTTCTATATGGCTCTCAAATTAGCCCCTCTGCCAACCTTAAGACCCTTGAAACAGTACAATCTAAATTCTTAAGATCATTATTTGCTACCCCTAAGTGTACACCTAATGCAGTCTTAAGGCAAGAGGCAGGACTGCCCAGAGTGGAATTAAAAGTCTGGGAACAAGCAATATCCCTCTGGCTGAAAATCCATTACAATCCTAAGGGTCTATTACCTTGCTTCCTGGCCGCAGTTCCCTATCCTCCTTGGCTTATGCAAATAACTAACAAGATCAAACAAATTGGCCTAAACCCTGAAAATATCTTTATTGGAACTCTGAACAAGGCAAAAGCTACTATTACTCGGAGACTTTATGATATCGAATTACAACAAGAAGGCGCCCTACTCCCAGAGACGTATAGATGTTTAAAAGCTTGGCCTAATTTTACAGCTACCCCTTACTTAACCAACATCACTAGCGAAGCCTATAGATGGGCTTTCTCTAGAGCCCGCTTTGAGACAATGCCCTCAGCAGTGCTGTACGGCAAATTCACGCGGGTTCCAATGCATGCGCGTCTCTGCCCTTGTATGTCTAATAAGGTAGAATCTGTCACACACATTCTTCTATCTTGCGAATTCTATAGTGAAGAACAGGCTCAACTTATTTTACCGCTTTTATCAAAATTTATACCCCTTCAATATTATTTGGAATCCTCCCCTGAAATTCTTCGAAAATACCTCCTGGAAGATTCCTCAAGCTCAGTATCATATGAGGTGGCTAAATTTTGCACTTTAGTAATTAAGAAACGTAAATCTCTTCTGTCGAATGGCACACTGCGAAGTTCCCTTGTGTAACCTTTTTTCTTTTCTGAAGTTGTTGCTGATTTCTTGTTGTCTGATCTTGGGATGTTTAGTGTCACTGGCTTTGGCCGCAATAAACTTGAACTTTGATTAAGCAATTAAATATATAAAACAATTCTCCTTGGTAAAGACATTGTATTAAAGGGACACAGGCTATAGAGAAAAATGTACCATGTGTCAAGCTCTTTATAACACACACACACACACTGGCAGCACTTTGTTCATTTTTAGTTGCTCAGCTGCACATTTTATGCACCTGTCACTTTTTGTTCATTTTGGGACATCGCACTGTGCTGTATCATAGATATATAAAAGAAATGAAAATGCTCATAAAATAAAGAACAGGAAACAGAACCACAGGAAATATTTCCTGTCTGAGTAAACACTGGCTTCCTGATAGCATTCCTGTAAAGTGGCCAGGGTTGGTAGGAGGGCAATGCAACTAAATGATAAGCCCACTGTACCAATGCCATGGGATACAGGGATGTGGGGAAGGGGACAAAGGAGATGGGGAGCCAACAGGTGAGCCGCTAGAGGGAACAGCTGACTAGCTGTGGAAACCATGGGTGGCAGACAGGCTCTACCATTAAGCAAAGTGAGGCAACTGCCTTGAGTGGCTGATGTGAGGAGTCATGGAAAGGCAATCAACTGTTTACTTTCCCTGCCAGGGAGGGTGAGGGTAACATGCTTGCAGAATTTTATGCCTCAGGCGGCAATACCGTTTGATCAGCCTTGGGTCTCATGCGCCTTGACTTGCAGAGCACGGGAGCGCCATTTGCAGCTCTGTCTCAGACAACAAAATGTCTTGGACCAGCCTTGGTGGCCATCATGCTTTTCTGGTAGTTTGGCAGGAGAGGGGGGAAAGGAGTCTGGGGCTACAGGCAGCAGCGTCCGAAACATTTCCTCAGCCAGGAGCAAAGACTGAAACTCACTCGAAAAGAAAGGCAGAGTCGTGAGCAAGAGCCCACTCAGTAGAGTGTAGGGATTGGAAAAGGAAATGGGAACCAACTTAGAGGGCTTCCTGTAAGAGGCATATGGAGGGTCTCCTGAACTGCTTTCTCAGCAAACATGGAAGAATGAAGGAAAAGAGTAATAGGTGCTTTCTGACTTCTGCAATCTTGAACAACCAACTGGAGTGAAGGCTGCAAGGTCACACAAACCCTACAACATTGTCTATGTAGATTTTATAGGTGCCATGTTTTGTCATACTCCAGCATGGCACAAAAACACCCCACAATTTATGCAGATGAAGGGGGTGGAAATATGCAGATATGGGAAGGCTTGGTTTTCAATGGTTCTCACTGGTTTTTCAACAGCCAAAGTGAACAATATGTAGTGGACAGAACCAATTTGGCCAGAATTGTCTAGCCAACTCCACCATTAGGCAGACAAACACAACTACCCTGGACAGCAGATGTTGAGGGGCAGCAGCAGTCCCCAGGCACCCCTCTCTGTTGCCATGTGCAGCCTCAGGGGCAGTGGAGGACGCTGGTGAACAAGTAAAGAGGAAAGTGACAGTCCGGTCTGCTTCTGTACACAGAAAGGGAAGGAAGAACCATTTTGCCCTGTGTTCAGGCAACAAAATGTCTTCAGGCGGCCCTGTGAAAGTCTAGTTTCATCCAGAAAAGCCATCGCTGCCTTTTGACTAATTCAGCGCTGCATGTTCAGATGGAGTGTCAAAGAAAAACATTGCGCTGTCAGTGCCTACGGAATAGAAATTACTCACTTTATAATCTCCCGAATTTCTCAATTTGCATAAAAATAACGATGCTGTTGCCAAGGTTTTCAGGCTGAAATACTAAGTTAGATAGTCCCGCTATATATTATGGCAGACTGATTATTGAATATAAGATGAGCTCTGAATGCACCCCATAAATTCAAATTTAGGAGAAATCCCTGTATACAAATTAGAGCGGCGCTTCACCTGTGCTTGGGAGTTTTTGCTTTTTACAAAGCCTGGGTTGCCACCTATGTAGCCATACTGAAATTATAGACAGCATGGGTGTGCATTAACAGCACGATCCTGTGTATGGGTTTGCTCAGAGGTAAGTCCCCCTGTGTTCTGCTTATTCCCAGGTAAACATACCCTGAAATGCAGAAATGGATATGTTGCAACAATTTCTAAAAAATAGGTAGACAACTCATCCAAAAGAGGTGCTGGAGGAAGAGATTCCTTAGGCCCAGAATGAATGAAAACATTTGACTGAAATGTATGTATGTATGTATGTATGTATGTATTTGAACTGTAACATTGTTGTGGTCACAGGAATCCGGCCTCCTATTCAGATTCCTTACCAAATGTCGATAAAAGAGGGGTTTTCATTTCCCGCAGCCTGTTTGATATACCACAGACATTCCCGCACATGACATTAGGGCACAGCGTTGAATGCACATTAATTTTAAACATGTTAAACTCGGTGCAGTACATCAATATCGACATCTGACATTTTATGTGACCCTCCTATGCAAAAGGAGAAAGTGCTCGGAACATGAAAGAGCTTATTCTAATGGAAAAGCTTTTTAAGACATATCACTCAAAAATGCGCTATTTCTAGTGACAGTTTCAACTTCAGAACATGGCTCCTTATTCTCCAAGGCACTTCAAACACCTTATTCCTTTTGTTAGACCAATATGCTGTGTGTGCTAATGACGACTCCTGTAACTAGCTGGAGACATTTTGCTGCAACTCCGCTTCCATCCCACAAGTACGTCCAAAGATGTGATTTAAAAAATAATTTTTAAAACGCTTTGATGCAATACAGAGAAAGAGAATGCCGAAATACACCTCATTATTGTACACTTTAAATAAGATCAAAATGGTAAAAATGGAAGACAAGCAGCTAAGAGTGCAAAAAATAACTCTTGGGGAATTGTTGCCTAACACTGCTCCCACCAACCCCATTCTGCATTGAGCATCTAGATTTGCCATCACTCCCAGCTTCAGCGAAAAGGTGGGTGTTATGTATTGAAGTTCTCACCCTGGGCCAGCAGGGGGATACTGTAGACAGTTCAGCTCCACATATGCAAATAAGGGATCGAAAGTGACGTTCAGTGATTGGTTAGTTACAGAAAATGGTTACTGTTGCGTTCTAGTGGAGCTCTATACAAGCAGGCTGGCTGAACCCTTGAGTTCAGTTTAGTTCTGGCCTGTGAATAAACAAGAGCTGTTTGAAGAATCGCTGTGTCGTCTGATATGTTCACCCACAACTTAACAGTGGGGCTGTGGCTGCTTATCAGAGCACATGGCTGGCATGCAGAAGGTCCCGGGTTCACTCCACAGCACTGTCAATGAAAAGGAAAGGTAGCAGAAAACAGGTCTGCCTGAGACGCCGGAAGAATGCAACCAGTCAGAACAGACAAGCTAAGCTAAGAGGACAAATAGGCTAATTGTCAATATTTTGGGGGAGGGATCACAACGCACAGTGGAAATTCAAGCTCATGCAATTAAAGTGGATGAAGGCACTCTATCACCCTAGCGCAACATTTTATTTTTTTTAAGGATTTCCTGTGGTTATACACTAAGAAGTGCAGGGTGGACAAATGATAAATAGGAAAATGTATATACACTGGGAAAGCTAACCAGGATGAATGTCCATTGTCATATAACGTTCCTGCAAAACAAATCAGGACGAATGCTCAATACAGAGCGGGCACAGTCTTAACTTTGCACAAGCTTTGTGCAGGCAAATGAGGATGAATGCTCAAATAAGCAGCTTGTCTGGAGGCAACTTCTTATGTTACAAAGAGGTGTGCAAAGAAAACTAGCCCAGCACTGGTCGGCGCAAAAGCACTTTGATGGAAAAAGACCATCTCAACACACACCTGGTAGGGTGGACCTTGTTTAGTCCTTATCACAGAGCTTGACTACTCCAGTTACAGAAATGTGGGTGGTAACGACGACCCTTGAGCAAGTATTGCCAATAGGGGTTTTGTTGTCGTGGTTGTTTAGTTCATTAAATTTATAACCTGTCTCTTCCATTTAAATAGCTCAAGGCGGCTTGCATCAAACAACCCACTCCAAATCTGCAAGCCTAAATTAAGATTACCAGCAGAAGTTATAAAGTTCCAAAGCCTGTCTAAAGAAAAACCTACAAATCTCTAGAAGCCCATCTCAAGAGAAGTAGCTTAGGCTTTAAACAAAGCCTGCAGCAGGCCGTTTTTCACTGTGGGCTTCTCTAGAGGAGGCAACGTGATAGCACAGCCAGGGCCACAATTTGGAAGTCTTCCCACAAAGTAGTGCCTGTGGCGTTTGCCCATTCCTTGTGATTATGTTTGTACAGGGGGATGGAAATGGTTAATGTAGATTGACCAATGAGAAAGCTCAGAGGCGGAGCCTACCTGGTTTTGAGGCTCAGCCCAGGGGTTTAACCATGGAGAGATAGAGGAGTGAGACAGAGGCAGTAAAAGTCGAACATAGTGGTTGTGACAGTTAAGAGTGAGAGACAGGGATAGAACTGAGAGAGAAGAGTGTGACAGTGTGAGATAGTGCCACATCTAGTTAAGGGCGCACATTTGAGAAACCGTTCTGAACATATTTAAAACTTGTTTGTTCTTCAGTAAACTTTAATCTTTGTTGTTGACTTTACAACCTGACTGAGACTCAGTATTTCACCTGAAGAAACTTGGTTGGTGGCAGCGGAAGAATAAAGCAGTGGTGTACAGGTCAATAGTCCGTGAAACGACCAGGGGCTCTGTACGAACGCCACAGTGCCAATCAGATGTTTTGGACTACACATCCCATCAGCCCCAGTCAGCATGGTCAATAGTCAGAGACGATGGGAGTTGTAGTCCAAAACATCTAGAGAGCTTCAAGCTGGATGGTCTACAAATTTCAGTTCATGAACAAACAAAAGCTCCAAAAGTTGCATCTCCTTTTTACTGTAGTTTGTATTTTTTATTGTGCATACGTGTGTGCATATATGAAAAGAAAAAGGATTGTGTGTGTGTGTGTGTGTGTGCGCGCACGCGCACACACACACACACAATCATGATGTGCTGCCTTCTTCCATGAAAGCAGAGGTGACCACTGACCCCTTCATCAGCCCTTCCTGAACCCAGAGGTATCTATCTATCTAAAATTATTTATCATAAAATATTTCCAATTTATCTATTTTATTTATTTCATAAAATTTATAAACCATTTGATTCTACCTCAAAGCAGTTTATCAAAAAGGTAAAACAATAAAATCAAGGAAAGATGTTTGCTGTTAAACTAACAAGTTTGCTTAATGGCTTCAGACAGATATACACACAACAACAATTGACTTAATATTTCTGTTTTGCTCTGTTTACCATTCATCACCATTTGTACACAAAGCAGCATGAATAAAAGATAAATATAGAGATTGTGTGTGTGTGTCTCACATCACAAGGGACAAAGGTGTAAAACTGCCAGAAGACCCAGGCTATGGGCTGATTGTAAAGTAGGGATGAAGAAGAACCTGGTGCTCTCCTGCTGTAAATCGAACACAACTCCCATCATTCACGCATTCATTCATTCATTCATTCATACTGAACTCCCATAATCCCTGAGCACTGGTTTTGCTGGCTGGGTCTGATGCGAGCTGGAGCCTAACAATATCCTGAGGACCACAGATTCCCCATCCCTGACCAGATGGGAAAAGTCTTCCTCCTTTCTCCTTCCATCGTAGAAAGAAATTCTTTCATCAGAAGAAGATGCTTCTGTTAGAGGAAGGGAACCTATCCTACATATATAGGCCCCATACTACTAATGAATAGCATAGAGCCAGTGTGGTGTAGTGGTTAAGAGCAGTGGACTCGTAATCTGGGGAACCGGGTTCGCGTTTCCGCTCCTCCACATGCAGCTGCTGGGTGACCTTGGGCCAGTCACACTTCTCTGAAGTCTCTCAGCCCCACTCACCTCACAGAGTGTTTGTTGTGGGGGAGGAAGGGAAAGGAGAATGTTAGCCACTTTGAGACTCCTTCAGGTAGTGATAAAGCGGGATATCAAATCCAAACTCTTCTTCTTCACCACGTTAAATACTTCCGTTTGTCCCTGGGATTCTCTAGCTGAAGGAAGGAAATATGGCCACATATTCTATTTCGTGCGGTTAGATCTACCGTTGTATATTCCTTACACATTAGTAACAGCATTTAGCCATGATTTCTCAACTCCCGTTCCCTAAGCAGACTTATGTTCTTGAATTCCCATGGAAGGCAACACGCTGCAGTCGGTGAGAGTTAGCGACAACCCCGGACTGCAGCTTCCTTGCCCTTGCTCAGCTGTGCATCCTGCAGGCGTTAATGGGTTTTATTTCCACTCACTCTGATCTTGGGCCACACAAAGAGTCTTGCTACTGGCAGCGCTGAATAGAGGATCAACCTCTATGTGGATGAAAATCATACCCCCCCTTTTTTTTGCACTAGATAAAGAAAGATTGCAGAGGTAGACATGAAAGTAATGAGCTACAGTGGGGCACAAAGTTTCGCTCCTAAGCAAGGCAGCGCTCCAAATGCTCACTAATAACTCCAGTCATCACTCCCTCTGGACCTTATACTCCTGTGCCTTGATATAAGTTATAGACTCATTTGGCCACTGAAAATTAGAAACATGGGAAGCTGCCTTATTCCAGGTCAGACTATTTGCCCATGTAACCTAGTACTGCGCATTCTGACTGGCAGCAGCTTTCCAGGGCTTCAGGCACAGGTCTTCTCCTTCCCTTCCTACAGGATTTGTCCAACTGGGGATGCTAAGGTAGGGACTGAACCTGGGAGTATCTGGGAAACACACTATGACCCTTCCCCATACTAATGATCCAGGAAACCAAAATGTTTGTTTACAAAGCTACTGTACTACCAACCTTACTGTATGCTTGTGAAACATGGACCACTTATAAACGCCATCTCCAATTCCTCGAAAGATTCCATCAATGGTGTCTCCGAAAAATTTTACACATCACTTGGGAAGACAGGCGAACTAGTACCAGTGTACTGAAAGAAGCAAAGATCACCAGTGTCGAAGCGATGATTCTTCAACATCAACTTTGTTGGACTGGTCACGTTGCGTGGATGCCTGATTATCATCTTCCAAAGCAGCTACTCTATTCCTAACTTAAAAATGGAAAGCGTAATGCTAGTGGTCAACAAAAGAGATTTCAAGACTGTCTCAAGGCAAATCTAAAAAAATGTAGTATAAACACCAACAATTGGGAAACACTTGCCTGCGAGCGCTCCAATTGGAGAACAGCCTTTACCAAAGGTGTCATGGGTTTTGAAGAGGCTTGAACTCAGGATGCAAGGGAGAAACGTGCTAAGAAGAAGTCACACTTGGCAAACCCTTACCATGATGAACTCCCACCCGGAAACCAATGTCCCCACTGTGGAAGGATGTGTGGATCCAGAATTGGCCTCCACAGTCACTTACGGACTCATTGTTAAAACTGTGTTTATGGAAGACAATCTTACTCGCCTGTGAGTGATCGCCAAAGAAGAAGAAGAAGAAGACCCCCGAACAGACAAATACTCAGCAGGAAAATGGCTTTGCTATATTTTCACAGGCAGGTTTGGAGGTTTTCTGCATGAGAAAACAATTGCAAGGATTACATGCAGAGAAGCATGAGCTTCCCCCTTGCACGCACACACATATTAAGAAGCTTTTGTGTATCTCTTGAGTGAGTAGCGGCAGACAATGGACCGGATTTCCCTCAATATCCTTATCAACTATGTATCTTCACTTCCTTTGTATTGAATGATGACACCCTATTGAGCAACTCACTCTTTGGGAGAAGTTAAAGCACAGTAATAAACATACTTCTCTCTCCCAGCCAGGGACCCACTTGGCATCATGCCTTTGTCTTGGTTTCAAGTTGTTGGGGGGGCGGGGGGGACAGTTTATTTATTATCTGGCCAGACACACTCTGCAGAAGTTTGAGAATCCCACAATTATAAAAAATTCAAAGCAAAGGATGCTGCATGCCAGACAGGTATTAAAGATGCACACAAAAATATCATGGAAGCAGTGCTCCTGCAGCCAGAGTATAGGGAGATCTGAGCTATATAATAATTTATTTTCTTTTGCGAGTACCCACACCGGTTACTGAAGGGACGCGGGTGGCGCTGTGGTCTAAACCACAGGGCTTGCCGATCAAAAGGCTGGCGGTTTGAATCCACACGGCGGGGTGAGCTCCCGTTGCTCGGTCCCTGCTCCTGCCAACCTAGCAGTTCGAAAGCACGTCAAAGTGCAAGTAGATAAATAGGTACCACTCTGGCGGGAAGGTAAATGGCGTTTCCGTGCACTGCTCTGGTTTCACCAGAAGCGGATTAGACATGCTGGCCACATGACCCAGAAGCTATCTGCGGACAAACACCACCTCCCTCGGCCAGTAAAACGAGATGAACGCCACAACCCCAGAGTCATCCGCGACTGGACCTAACAGTCAGGGGTCCCTTTACCCTTACACTGATTACTGGCTATTGCATTTCCATGGGATGATAAATATCCTAGTAACACAGAAGCAATCTGGAACCTAGCAACACCATCCCAAACATTACTCAGAATTAGGTCCCACTGAATACAAAGAGACTTGCTCCCATGTAAATATGCTGAGAACTGCAGCCTAAGTACATTCTCATATGTGATACACTAACAGCACAATCTTATGCACTGGGCTATTGGCTTGTTGTTTTTATTTTTATTATGTATTTTGTAGTTTTATATATTGATTTTATTCTGTGAACCACTCTGAGACCACCCCCCCAGGTATAGGGTGGTATATAAATTCAATAAATAATAATAAAAATAATAATGTCTACTCAGAAGTAAATCCTCCTGACTTCAGTGGTATTCTCAGATAAATATACATAGGACTGCAATCTACGAAGCACATTTAAGCCACTTTCATTAATTTAGCGTCACAAATGAATGCTGTATATACAGGAGGAAATTTAGAAGAAAAACTGAATATAAATTCCAACGAACAGCCCATTTAAAACATTGCTGATTTAAACCTCAGGTGTGAAACAGATCCTAAGTTGTTCCATGCAAGCACAAAAGACCTGAAATCTCTTCAGAACTACACAGCAACATTTTCAAAAGCATTAAACACTAATTGTTGTCCATCTGTTCCAAGCTGGTGGACAGCTCCTGCATTCTAGTTCTTCACTTTGGAAGACGAACTGCACTACTTTTATCAGAAATTATATTAGGAATATGCTCATATGTATTAGGGAATGTTCAAGAAGGAACTGAAGCATGTTGTTTGGACTGGAATGTAATTAGTCAAAGGCTCTCTGGCATGAAAACTCTGTCCACAAATCTCGGGTGTGTGTTGTTATTCAGCAGCAAACTACCTGTGGCATTAGTCGCTATATATAAAATCACCATGTATAGTTTAGCAGTAACAGGCAGGCATGCCACAAATGCTCAGGTGACCCTATGCAACTTTGCACAGAAGTTAAGTCCCACTGTGCACAGGATTGCAGATGGTTTAATTTATTTCACAAATCACGATTCCACCCTTCAATAACAGGTAGCAAGAGCAGCTAACAATAATGAATTAAAAAAACCCATTCTAATAAAATCATAAAGCAACAACAACAACAAAAGCATTGTAAAAACAGAAGGTACAATTGAGGCCTAAATCATGGGTAGGCAAACTAAGGCCCAATCGCCTTCTAAATCTGGCCCGCGGATGGTCCGGGAATCAGCGTGTTTTTACATGAGCAGAATGTGTCCTTTTATTGAAAATGCATCTCTGGGTTATTTGTGGGGCATAGGAAATTGTTCATTTCCCCCCCTTCAAAATATAGTCCGGCCCCCCACACGGTCTGAGGGACAGTGGACCGGCCCCCTGCTGAAAAAGTTTGCTGACCCCTGGCCTAAACAATCAAGTTGTGGGAGTTCAAAAGGAAAACAGAAAGAGCTTGTTGAAAAGGTGAAGGCACCAGGTGAGCTTCTCTGGGGAGTGTTTTCCAAAGACACAATGCCACAAATAAGAAGGCCCTCTTCCCAGGATGTCCCCGATACACGTCAGATACACGCACCAGATACACGCACCAGTGGCGACAGGTAATCCTTCTACAAGCCAATTCCTTCCCAGGTTAGTCCACTGCCATGCCATGCAACACTTGGGACTGAGGTTGTGGAACCCCTTCCTCTTGGTTGCTACTCAGTGGCAGTGGCTGGTACTGCAATATACCCCAACCCACCAGCCATCACTAGTGTATCACACAGCTGGCTAAGCAGAGATATGAAATCAGAACCTGCAAGGTTTTCAGAAGGTAATACTTGGATGCCTGTACAGAGATACATTTTTTCCCTGTGGCAAAATTCCTGAGAGTGCAACTTACTTGTTCCTGCTCCTATTGCTCTAGCCTTGATCAGCACTTTGACAATGGTAAGAAGAAAATTGGGGAGGGGGGATGAAAACCTTTGCAAGGGCAAGCGTCTATGAAGGTGCAGTTATTCTCCGTAGCCTGATAAAACCAAAATGTGAAGTGAAATGGACTAGCGAAGATCAAGAGCAGCTTCTGGTCTAGTTAATTTCACTCTGAATGAAAACTAGGCAATTTTTTCTTGTATATCCACACATTAAAAATGTCAAATGACATTTCTAATGTAAGTCTCGTGTTTTGGAGGGGACTGTGTTATTCACCTTGGACATTATCCATGGCAGACACATCAAAATGTAGTAGATATTTTGCAAAATGTGTATTGCAGCAGAGATTTATTCCTGCTTTTTTTGTAGGGTATCTGACTGACTGGGAAAAGGGCGAAAATGGGTTGGGCTGCAGCAGGAGATACCACAACACCTCCAAGTTTCTAAGAAGCAAGTATATGCAGACACTCAAGTAGAGGTTGAAGAGCTGGCATTTGTTCTATTAGTTCAATGCAGCTGAATTCAGGGGAGACAGACGTGGTTTTCTATTGTGGTAAGATGTGCCCTTTAAAACAATGGACATCTGCCAGCCCCTACTGAATTATACTGAAAATATCAGACTTGCTTCAGGTGCAGAATGCTCAATGAATTATTTGGTCGACATTTTTAAAGACCTCATTGGCACTTCCTGGACTAATCGGAGTCCAGCTATCCTTTAGTTTTCACACCACCAAATTTTGCAATAGAGTTTTTAGTTAAAAACGTGCAAAAAAACAGCAGATAAAATGTACATTTGTTAATAAATTTTAATAATAATTTTTATTATTTATACCCCACCCATATGGCTGGGTTGCCAGTAGTTAATATGCACACTCAAATGCCTATTTTACGATAAAATGGATACAAAAGTCTATATTCTAGGATAAGATGCATCAGACAAAATGCACATTTTAGGGTAACACGTACATTGGGGTAAAATTCCTGGGTCATTTAAAAGTTAATCTACAGACTGACGCGAAAACAAGAGTTAAGAATGAAAAAACTGCAAGACCGGGTATAAGCCAATCCATACACCCTTAGCTCCAGGGCATGAATATAAAAACTCACGTGTTAATAGACAAAGCTGTAGTTACATTAAATGTGTGTTCTAGGGCATTCTCCATGTGGTCTCTTTCTTGTTCATTATTTCTAACTGTGCAAATGTTTATATAATCAATCTTCTCTGCACATGCATACAAACACTCACTGACACACCTCACTCCACTCTGTGATCGCCTCTACTCAAAATAGTACCTATTTTAATGAGATTTCCCACCCCATTACAATAGCATTTTCTGCACTTGCCCCAGGAATCATCATCGGTGTGAGTGGCTTTTCAAGCTTCATCCACTTATTGATCATTTGGCTGAAAAAAATTCAAACAGCTGTTCAGGCTCAGTGTGCTTCCGCAATTCTTTTCAGCGACCAAGTAATTTTTAAAAATAGTGTATTTATTAGTCCCTTTGCAGAATCCCCCAACATTGCATGAGACTTGACAAAGCCATTATGAAGTCTAACCAAAGGCTCTCTCTGCTAGTCTGCAGCATGAGCTCAATTTAAAATAATTCAGAAACGGATTCTGCAAGAACCCTCTTTTGTTAACATCGTTTCTCTGCATTTGGGAGAAGCTGACGAACCAACTTCATTAGACTGAGCAAAAAAAGCAATTTTGAAAAGGTAACGGAAAGACAGTGCATGGAAATAAAGAATATAGAAACAAAAGATGTCCTTCTCACAGGAATTAACTTGAAACACAGAGGTAATGATTTCCTACTGGAGATCTAACTTTCCCATGTCTTAATAGGCTTCCGAAAGAAGACACATGACCGTGTCCACTGCAAATTGTCTTGGTGATCTAGAGTAACCAGAGCTTACGGGTCAAGGAAGGCATGCTCTATTCAAAATAGGAAATACCCTGCCTCAAGTATTATGGATTAGAAATTTTTTAATTTTGTTTAGCTCACTATTTGACACAAGCTTCAGCTCAGTTCCATGCTGGACTCCATACTCATAGTGAACATATTTCAGTACAACCTGAACACCAGCCCTAGCCTAGTTCTGGTTGGGTTTCATCTCAACACAATACAGTAACTGCACAGTAACAGGAAGGAATAGGAAGAACAAGCATGGATAGATCAGAGAACAGTGTTGGTATGAAGTCTTGGAAGCCTCTGACCCAGGCATCCCCAATCTGTGGCCCTCCAGATGTTTTGGCCTACAGTTCCCATGATCCCTAGCTACCCGGACCAGTGGCCAGGGATGATGGGAATTGTAGTCCCAAAACATCTGGAGGGCCAAAGGTTGGGGGTGCCTGCTCTAACCAATGGACAACTATTTAGACACCCCCTGTAAGACTCTGGGAGGGTCAAACTAGCGACTCTGGTAGTGGAGCCCTGGTGCCTTGCTACCAGAGGACCTTCCAGTAGCACACAAGGGGGAACGCCAGATTGACTCCGCTGGTGTGCCATGCAGCCCCTGCAGCCCCCCCATCCAACTCACCCTCCCAGCTGACGCTGCTGCCAGGAGGCTATTGCTATGACTGCCTCATTGGGTGAGCCCTTTTCTGTTTTAACTGTCTCTACTTTCTTTCTGACAACTCTGTTTAATCCCTAGCAAGCTGGCTACTGTCTACTGCACTGTCAAAGAAACCACCTCCCTGAATTACTCTTTGCTGCTTCCTCCCTGGCCATTCTGCTGCCTCTGAAACAGCTCTCCACCTTCTCTCCACTCAAAACTTGGGTTTGTACGTTTCTGCTTCAGCACCTTTCTCTTCCTACCCATTAAACAGCTCACTTGATGTTTCCCATAAGAGAGAGTTCCTCCTCTCCCCTGCCCATCATCTCTGTTGGGGTACAAGGCCTGGTCCCCTTCTAGTCCCTCCCTCTCATTTTCTCTTCCTGCTGTCAGACTTTATTCTGTATGATCTGCAAGGCAAGAGTGACGCTTCTAATGCTTATGCTAACCTGTAAGTACGTACAATTTGGAAGATTTTTTTAATGTCTGGGGAAGTTTTTGAAAACCACAGAGTTTTGATGAAATGCCTTGTAATGAAAGGTGTTGTTTTCTTCTGTTTAATAGTTTGAAGACCTCTTTAATCATTGATAAGCCACTTTTTGAGGTCTGACAGAAAATAAGTACAGTGGAATCTTGATTCTCAAACCTAATCCGTTCCTGAAGTCCATTTGACTCCCAAAATCGTTCGAAAACCAAGGCGCGGCTTCCGATTGGCTGCAAGAGCTTCCTGCACTAAAGCAGAAGCTGCGTCGGACATTCAGCTTCCAAAAAACGTTAAAAAACCGGAACACATACTTCCGGGGTTTTGGTGTTTGGGAGCCAATTTCTTCATCAACTAAGCCGTTTGAGAACCAAGGTTCCACTGTATATAAATTCTTTAGGTATAAATAGATTCATATCTGTTGTTAAGCCAGCTCTAAGACTGGAGCATGTTCTTCAGCTTTCAAGCCTTGACTTGAGAATCACAGAATCACAGAATGGCTGAGTTGGAAAGGGACCACAAGGGTCATCTATAACCCCCTGCAATGCAGGATTTTTTTGGCCCAACGTGGGTCTCAAATTCACGATATTGAGATCAAGAGTCTCATACTCTACCAACTGAGATATCATTCTACAAATCAATAGGGTTCACAGAAGTTTTGAATATGCCTCCTTAAATATCAACAATTCATTGCAGGTTGTACTACTATAGACTGTCTGGAAACCTTGCCAGAAACTGGAGAAATACTGTCCTGCCTCCCAGCTGCCACCTTTGAAACTACCACCACAACCACCCAGCTTGGAAAACCAACATTCACTCCCTGCAAAGAGGGAAAATATGGAATACTTTCCTGTAGAAAGCCAGCTCTCCAGGGAGACATAGTTTTGTCTCTCTCCAATATACTGGTTTTCTGCACTCAAGCTTTGCTTTGCTTTTTGCATGAGGAGAAGAATTCAAAAACATGATTTTGCAGAATGTTACCTTGGTCCTTAGACCTGGATTTAAAGCCTGGCTTAAGCAGAAGTTAGCCTCGTCTTATGCAAAGGCAGTATTGCAGCACATTCCTACAAATGTACTCCTAAGTAAACCCCGCTGTTTTCACAGGGGTTTACTCTAGGAAAGTATCTGTAATATTGCAGCCCTACTGACTCACTTCACAAGATAGCTTTGAGCACGACTGAAGTGAGCATTGCAGGGATTTCACACCAAGAGTGCTATAGAACAACTAAGTATGCAGCGTTTCAATACACGGAAGAGAGACTGTGTGTGTATGCCCATACATGTGCATGATGTATCAATTTGGAAAATGGTCCGTTTAATATTTTGAAATAAATAAAACACAAGTGATTTAGTTACAATGGTTTGATTGCTCACAATCAGTGGTATTCTTAATGAAGACCTGGAACAGTTTAGCACTGGTGAAAGCACTGTAAACCCATAATTGATTAGTAGTTCCCTTCTCCCCACCCCTAGTCCCAGAAACAGAGTTCTTCAGGCAATAAATAAGGTAAGTTCAGCTTTGATACTGGGCACCAAGAGGAATGCTGTCATCATGTTATTTGAAAGGCAACACCAGAGGAAAAGCTGTACTGTTAACTATGTCAAGAAGCTCACAAACACAACAGAAAACCCATCTCAGTGGAAGGCTCAATTACGTATGTTTTAATTAGCTATGAATCTCGCCAAGCATCATCAGTGTCATCTTTTAACCTGCAGGCACACATTATTTGACTTCCTGCTACCGGCTGCTAGTAAAACATTAGGCAGAGTGCACAGTACATCTAGAAGTAACTACTGATCACTGATTTCTGCTGATGGCATGCTTTTGAAATGCTGAAGGCGTTTTTTGGCACAGCCGCCAAACATTTCAGTAGTAGCTCTTGCGCATATTTACCATAAGACGCACCAGACTATAAGACGCACCTAGTTTTTGGAGAAGGAAAACAAGAAAAAAATATTCTGAATCCCAGAAGCCAGAACAGCAAGAGGGATCGCTGCGCAGCGAAAGCAACTATCCCTCTTGCTGTTCTAGCTTCTGGGATAGCTGTGCAGCCACCATTCACTCCATAAGACGCACACACATTTCCCCTTACTTTTTAGGAGGGAAAAAGTGAGTCTTATAGAGCAAAAAATACGGTAATTAATGCGTGCAAGCTAATATTTGAGGAATATGCACAGCTGGAATGGTTTTGTAGGCCTGAACAGTCAAAAATTTACTAGCACTTACTAGAACACAGGGCACCTTAGGAAGCTTAAAAGCAAGAATGCAAAATTGGCCTTCCAGGTTTTTTGAGCGTGGGGAGGAAAGAGATCCTAATATTAGTAGTAATAATAATAATAGCAGCAGCAGCAATGTTAGAAAGTAACCAATACAAATAGAGGCACGAGAATTAAATGTAGTGTTGTCAACCAACAGCCTCTAGTGTGTGTGTGTGAGAGACAGAATTCAGTAGGATGAGTATCCTTTTCTGTTGACGATAAAAATTAATGTCCTATATAGTTGGTGCATAATGTTTAATTATATAGCACAGCAAGGCGGAGGCACTCAATTGACACAGATCAGAAAAGATCTAATTCCAGGTGCAACTGGAATTTAATAAGGAGTAAAGGATCTGTTGCTTCATAAACACTACTTTATTGAAGTAACTGGATTCTCTTTCCTTTGACCCATGTATAAGTTTTTGTGGCTGCTATCCGTTTCTCCATTGGTTGGTTGAGTGGCTCTTTCCTTATACATCTTTTAATACAAGCATCAGAACTCTCCCATGAATGTGAAAACTACACCATGAAAACACACCAGTTCCCAGGGTAGCGTAGCCATTCATATTTAAGAAGGAAACAACCTACTACTAACGCCGCAGTCGTCCACAGCAGATAGGCAACACACGAACTCCAATGGAAGGTTAGTCAACTTTTGCAGCATGCAAATGTTTTCACTCGATCAATAATCCACATTCACCTTGTAGGCAAGCTTAGGCCATTGTGAGCATCTCTGCTGCAAGCACACCAGTCCTTCCATTTATGAAACCCATGCTGGGAAACATTATTGGCAAGGCAGGCATACCTACAGACAGGAGGACTGATCAATGTGTTTCGCTAGCATTATCTTTAGCAGGGACATGCTCCCCTCTCTTTGGAAGCCTGCTTCAGAGAATTCGCAGAGCAGAAGATCTATCAGCACCACCAAGGAAGGCAAGGCTGACCCATTTCTTTCAGTTTGCCAAAGGATTCTTGCTCTTGGTACAGGATGAAGCAGCCCATCTACAATGACACAGCAAGGATGTAGCAGCAAAAAACCCCAAAACCGTGCAGGCTTTCCTCCTCTCCCTTTGATATCTATTCAGCACATTCTAGGCCCCTGTTCCCTATATGCCAGAGGAGACACTTCAGCAAGGGATATGCTGTTAAAGCAAACTTTTGAGCCAGCAGTTTTTCCTCCGTTGTCGTTGCAGTTCGTAAAGCGCCCCACCCCTCACCGCGCCCTCCACACTGGACCCAGAACAACGCTGTTGAAAAAGAACCACAATCCTTATCAGAGAAGGGTCCCACCCTTAACAAGTGGCTCTTTCAGACTTCTTAATCTTGCCTTGCCCTTAAACCACATTAGGACCGCCCTTGTCTGCGCCGAATAACTCATTGTTTTCGATTTGGGGAAGGAAGAAAAGAAAAGAAAAGCATCAAACCGGGTGGGGAATGACAAGAGCACTTCCAAAACCTAAGTTTTTAAAAAATGCATAACAACGCATACATTTAGGCTTAAAATCCAAGGCACCATTTCTGCACGGAGAGACGTAGAGCTCCTTTTTTTTTTTTACTCCCCTTCCTCCCCCATCCACGATCATTTGCTTCCTATATCCAGATTGCTCTCCCCCACCCGCTCGACCCTCCCAGTTTCTCAAAGGCGGCTTTCCCCACCCCCACCCAACCCCTCCTGTGCGCGCTCGGCGATTTCCGCCTCGGCAAAGGGGGAAGGACGCAGAGTTGGTGGGGGAACCTACCTTTTTGTCTTCCTTCTCACCGCTATGCCTCTTCTCCGGCTGCTGCTGCGCGCTGTCACCGGCGCTTTCCCCTGCCTGCCCATCCTGCTGCTGCTGCTGCTGCTGACAGCCTCCAGACCCCTGCGCGGCGTGGGGGATGGGCTCCGGGCACGGAGAAACTCCCCGAACATCCATCTCCATCTTCCAAGCCGCCGGATTTGCAAACAAAAGCAGCCAAGGAGAAAGAGACTTTCCGCCACCCCGGCGCCTCTCTCCCTCTCCAATCTCTCTCTCTTAGGATTTGATTCCCCTTCCCGGGTTATTGCGCGTGCATTTATTTGGCTTGAAGAATAGGAAGCCGAGGGGCACACTCACATGGTTCCTCTCCTGCACCGATCCGGCGCCTGCGATCTCATGCACAAACACAGACTTGAGATCCTCCAGACTTTTGCAGCCAACGTGTGCGCCTCGCTGTCTTGCCGGCGGCGGGTACGGTGGCCTCCAGCCTCCCCTTAGCAGCGAAAACGCCCGCGAAGCGCGCGCGGTCCCCTGCCAGACCCAACTCCCACCGTCCTCCTCCTCCCTCGGCGAGGATTAGAGACTTGGTGGTGGTGCTACTACCGCCAGCCGGGGCTTCCAGGCCCGGGCAAGTCTTTTGCATGGGGTTCTCTGATTGATTTTACCCCTTCTTCCTCCTCCTTTCTGTTTCTCTCTCTTTTTGGAGAGGCGGTTAGGGGAGCCCCTGAACGGAGAAGTTCGAGGCGGCGTGAGGGAAGGAGAGAAGCCGCCGAGGGGCTTGGGAAAAGGGGAACTCGGGGGTATCCTGAGGAGAATGTCGAGGAAAAGTTAAAACGCCTCTCGCGCGCGCAAACGCACCGCGCGCGCCCCGCCCTGTCGCCACAAGGACCCCAGGCAGGCGCGCGTAAAGGAAGCCGCTGGTTTCAATCCCGAGCGGTGGGGAAGAGGCTGGTTTATGAAGGAGACAGCGGCCCCCCCTCGCTCCCCGCCCTCTTCCAAGCCTCTGTGTCTCCTTGATGCTAATCTCCGCGCTGTGCCCGCGCACGCGCTCCTTTCTCCGTGTATCTATACATATATGCGCAACTGGAGCTCCCTCTCCAGACGGCCAGCGCAGCGCATGAGGAACTGGAGTAAAGGGCGGGCGTGGAGGAGGGGGGAGCGCGCGGGCGGGCGGGTGAGAGAGAGAGAGAGAGAGAGAGAGAGAGAGAGACGCCCCCCTCCCCGCGCACGCGCGGCTTGATGAGCTCTGGTGATTGATTCTTCAGATTAATAGTTGCTGTTTCTGAAAGGAAGGGCGAGCCCAAGCTCAGGGGTTTCTTTGGAATGCCAGCTGTGAAAATGTGGAGTCATCAGGATGGGCGCCTCTGGGCATGTGCAGAGGGCCTCTCCTCCTCCTGGGACTCTGTCCCCAGAGAGTTGCTCCGAGGTGGTCTCATACCTACACGTTAAAACCTTCCATTTTACAAGTGTACCAAAAAAAAAAAAAAAGTGAAAGAAGCTTGTAAGGTAAAATGGGATGCGGGTGGCACTGTGGTCTAAACCGCTGAGCCTCTTGGGCTTGCTGGTCAGAAGGTTGGCGGTTCAAATCCCCGCAATGGAGTGCGCTCCCGTTGCTGTGTCCCAGCTCCTGCCAACCCAGCAGTTTGAAAGCACACTGACGCAAGCAGATAAATAGGCACCGCTGCGGCAGGAAGGTAAACAGTGTTTCCGTGCGCTCTGGCTTCCGTCCCATTGCGCCAGAAGCGGTTTAGTCATGCTGACCACATGACCAGGAAAGCTGTCTGTGGACAAACGCCCGCTCCCTCAGCCTGAAAAACGAAATGAGTGCCACACCAAATCATCGCCTTTGACTGGACTTAACCGTCCAGGGGTTCTTTACCTTTACCTTTTTACCTATGTTAGAAAAGAGTGAGGAGGGAGAACAGTAATTGTTTTTAATTTGGATGGGCAGTTGTGCCTGGAACAAACCATCATCGATACCACAGCGTGGATAGCTTCATTGGTGCTGATAATGCCAAGGTTGCAGGTTCAATCCCCATATGGGACAGCTGCATATTTTTGCATTGCAGGGGTTGGACTTGATGACGCTCAAGGTCCCTTCCAACTCTGCAATTCGACAACACATTAACTCTGACAACACGTCACCGCGGACAAATTTTACAGTCCAGTTGGGGAGGGATGACATTGACACAGGAGGATGCTTGGAGGGTGCTCCAATGGAGATTTGGCCTCTGGGTTTTTCAGCAACTTGAAAAGTATCCGTGTGTATGATGTTCCCAACAAGCCAATAAATAGTGTAAAAGTGTTCTCTTGAATGAAAGCCAAGCTTTGATCTGATCATTCTTAAATCAGGACTCTTTTATCAGGTGACTAGACTGCATTTCTAAATATAAATTTCCAAATATAAGCTAACATTGCCTTAAAGAGCTGCCATTGCAGCTTTGGATGTTACCTGGAAACATATGCCGACAAATTTTAGCATACATTTTTTTTTTAAATCCACAGTATACATGGTTCTAAGGAGAAAATGTCTCATTCCATGTAGCTGTAGAATATTTTCCCAGTTCATGGAAACTCACACGCAACCCTGCTTGCATCAGCTGATGCCCTGACCCAAGGATATTCTGAGAAAATGCTCTTTGTGTAGCATGACATGGAGCCCTATGGAACTTTGCCTCTAGATCCAGAATGGCTAAAATGGTTTGTTAGCTTGCATCTACACTGGCAGATATTGCAACTGAAATAGAAAGGAAGACAGCCAGGGATGAAACATTAGCAGTGCCCCCCTCCTCTACCAAAGATCCATCATAACCCACCCACCCCCCTCAAAAAGGCAAGCTGCATTTAAAAGAGAAACCATTCACCTTCTAAGAGCCCATCAAAATGCCTGTACTTTTACTTTTCCCCCTATAATTTTTATTAAATTTTCTGTTTTACATTTTAGAATATTCATTTAAACAACTTTAAAAATATCAAGTGACTTCCCTTCTTCTCTTTCCATGGTTAATTTTACATATCATAAATCCCCACATATTTTACAGAAACTATACCATTCAGTATTCCATTACTGAAGCCATCAAAACTTATTTACACTGCTGAATTTATCTTAATGCTGTCTACGTTTTCAAATAAACACAGTTTCCCTCCATATATTCAGTAAACATTTTCCAGTCTTCTTTAAACATAGGTTCTTCTTGTTCTCTTATTCTATATGTTAGGTCCGCAAGCTGCACATATTCCAACAGTTTAAGTTGCCATTCTTCTTTAGTTGGGATTTCGCTCAATTTCCATTTTTGGGCTAACAAAACTCGAGCCGCAGTAGTGGCATACATAAATGACCTTTTTTGACACTTGGGAATTTCCATCTGAATTATCCCCAACGAAAAGGACTCAGGGTTTGTTTGTTTTTCGGAAAAGTACTTTTAAACATTTTTTCCAATTCATTATGGATTATTTCCCAATACTCTTTTACCCTTTTACAGGTCCACCACATTTGATAAAATGTACCCCCAGTCTCATTGCATCTCCGACACTTATCTGATTCAGTCTTATACATCTTTGCAAGTCTACTCGGACTTAGATACCATCTGCAAATCATTGTCAGGTAGTTAAAATGCCTGTACTTCAAGGCTTCATCATTCTGCTTCAGCAAAATATTGAAGGTCTTCCTAAGTGTGTGTATGTTCCATCAGCTTTGTACTTAAGCACAAGACACCGACTACAATAAGTCACATGCAGGCAGGCATTGGAGAGGTGGAGCACTCTGTCCCTCCTCTGGACCCAGAATACAAATACAGGGGGCTGTTGCAGAAGTGATAGAGCTATACCTTCTGTGCTAGCCTCTAGCAGGTCAGTAATGTTTTTCTGGCTAGTAACTTTTGTGGGTTTATTAATATTTACAAGGCTGATTCAACACATAAAGGTAAAGGGACCCCTGACCATTAGGTGCAGTCATGACCGACTCTGAGGTTGCGGCGCTCATCTTGCTTTATTGGCCGAGGGAGCCAGCGTACAGCTTCCGGGTCATGTGGCCAGCATGACTAAGCCACTTCTGGCGAACCAGAGCAGCGCATGGAAACGCCGTTTACCTTCCCACTGGAGTGGTACCTATTTATCTACTTGCACTTTGACGTGCTTTCGAACTGCTAGGTTGGCAGGAGCAGGGACCAAGCAACGGGAGCTTACCTCGTCGAAGGGATTCGAACCGCCGACCTTCTGATCGGCAAGTCCTAGGCTCTGTGGTTTAACCCACAGCGCCACCCGCGTCCCGATTCAACACATACATAATGTTTAAACCCTTTTTTTTAAGGTGATGTTTTTTAAGATAATTTCTGACACTGCTGTCATGCCCTGAACAATAACAGTATGTTTTTTTCTATATCCCCATTTAAATTGTTGTTGTTAGGTTGTTGATACAACTATCCAGAGAATCCTCTTTTTTTTCATACAAGCATGATAATGTCAAGGTTGCAGGTTTGATCCCCATATGGGACAGCTGCATATTTCTGCATTGGAGAGGTTGGACTATTATTATTATTATTATTATTATTATTTATTCAACTTATGCACTGCCCTATACCCAGAGGTCTCAGGGTGGTTCACAACGAGACCACAAGATTAGATGCTCCTTAGGGTCCCTTTCAGCTCTGCAATTCTATGTAGAACATGAATTTGCCAGCCGCTTAACAGCTTTTGTTCTGTTCACAGTTTCTTCCATAGACTTGCATCAGAGGAGTTGTTTAATGTCTTACTGTAAATATTCGTTGTTGGGTGCACCCGGTTCTGCCACCCTGGACCTAAATTGTGCTAATATGTGCAGCCTCCCAAACATTAGCTGGGTGACAGATTGTGCAACTAATACCATTTTAAAGCTAATTAAAAGTGTTGTCTTCTTTGTTGCTTTATTGATTTACACAGAAACTTTTGCCATAGTTGCTAGCCACTTGTTTACAAAGTTAATAAAATGATAAATTACACCCAAGTCTCTCTGTAATGGGGGGGACAATGAAGAATTGGTGTCTTCTTGTTGTTAGAAAATAAAATCAGACCCAATTTCTCCAGCCCTTGAGGCTAAAATGAAAACCAGGAAAAGGGCTAAAATAAATATAAAGATCTTACCGTATGTGCGTGAACTTACTGGAATCGAGGTTTGGCAGAGTGCCAAGGCAAGCCCATTCCAAAAGCGTGTACCCACAAGGAAGGAGGAGTCCTCAGTTGATCCTGAAACATTTAACCCCAAATGTCAACAAGGATCTTCTGAAAAATCTGGGTGGTCCACACACAGTCAGATTCTAGGTCGTCCCCCCCCCCCCATGTTTATGTTTCAGAGGATAATGATATCTAATGCTAACTTGGAAAAGACTTCTGGTCTGCATTGTCTAATGGGTAGGCAAACTAAGACCCAGGGGCCAGATCTGGCACAGTCGCCTTCTAAATCTGGCCCAGGGATGGCCTGGGAATCAGTGTGTTTTTACATGAGTAGAATGTGTCCTTTTATGGAAGGTAAACGGCATTTCCATGCGCTGCTCTAGTTCACCAGAAGCGGCTTAGTCATGCTGGCCACATGACCAGGAAAAACTGTCTGCAGACGAATGCTGGCTCCCTCGGTCAGTAAAGCGAGATGAGTTCCGCAACCCCAGAGTCGTTCACGACTGGATTTAACAGTCAGGGGTCCCTTTACCTTTACACCTTTTTATTTAAAATGCATTTAAAATGTTATTTGTGGGGCATAGGAATTTGTTCTTCTTCTTCTTTCCAAAATATAGTCCAGCCGCCCACAAGGTCTGAGGGACAGTGGACCTGCCCCCTGCTGAAAAAGTTTGCTGACCCCTGGTCTAATGCTTACTGTACATTTCTTTAGCAAAGACCTTGACTTATAGCTAATGCTGTCGGACTCGAGCTCCGAGGAACCCAGCAATTTGCCCATTGCCGCCCAGTGAACTGCATGGGTCACTGAGGGTGTTAGCCAAAGTTTCCTATGTCTTAGCCCAGTCATACCACACTGGTTCTTAACGCACAATGTGAAATGTCAAACA